TTGTCCCTTTTATTGGCACAGAGTTGCTTGTCGTAGTCTCTTAGGATGCTTTGTATATCTGCGCTGCCTGTTGTAACTTCTCCTTTTTCATTTCTAATTTTATTGATTTGAGCCCTCGCCCTCTTTTTCTTGATGAGTCTGGTTAATGGTTATCAATTTTGTTTATCTTCTCAAAGTACCAGCTTATAGTTTTATTGATCTGTGCTATTGTTTTCTTTGTTTCTATTTCATTTTTTTCTGCTCGGATCTTTATGCTTTCTTTCCTTCTGCTAACTTTGGGTTTTGTTTGCTCTTCTTTCTCTAGTTCCTTTAGATGAATGCTTAGATTGTTTGAAATTTTTCTTGTTTCTTGAGGTAGGCTTTTATAGCTATAAACTTCCCTCTTAGAACTGCTTTTGCTGCGTCCTATAGGTTTTGGATTATCGTGTTTTCATTATCATTTGTCTCTAGGTATTTTTTGCTTTCCTTTTTGATTTCTTCAGTGATCTCTTGGTTATTTAGTAACATATTGCTTAGCCTCCATGTGTTTGTGTTTTTTACGCTTTTTTCCCTGTAATTCATTTCTAATCTCATAGTGTTGTGGTCAGAAAAGATGCTTGATATGATTTTAATTTTCTTAAATTTACTGAGGCTTGATTTGTGACCCAAGATGTGATTTATCCTGGAGAATGTTCCGTGCACACTTGAGAAGAAAGTGTAATCTGCTGTTTTTGGGTGGGATGTCCTATAAATATCAATTAAATCTGCCTGGTCTATTGTGTCATTTAAAGCTTGTGTTTCCTTGTTAATTTTCTGTTTGGATGATCTTTCCATTGGTGTAAGTGAGGTGTTAAAGTCCCCACTATTATTGTGTTACTGTTGATTTCCTCTTTTATAGCTGTTAGCCATTGCCTTATGTATTGAGGTGCTCCTATGTTGGGTGCATATATATTTATAATTGTTATGTCTTCTTCTTGGATTGATCCCTTGATCATTATGTAGTGTCCTTCCTTGTCTCTTGTAACATTCTTTATTTTAAAGTCTATTTTATCTGATATGAGTATTGCTACTCCAGCTTTCTTTTGATTTCCATTTGTATGGAATATATTTTTCCATCCCCTCACTTTCAGTCTGAATGTGTCCCTAGGTCTGAAGTGGGTCTCTTGTAGACAGCATATAGATGAGTCTTGTATTTGTATCCATTCAGCAGCCTGTGTCTTTTGGTTGGAGCATTTAATCCATTCACGTTTAAGGAAATTCTCGATATGTATGTATCTATGACCATTTTCTTAATTGTTTTCGGTTTGTTTTTGTAGGTTCTTTTCTTCTCTTGTGTTTCCCACTTAGAGAAGTTCCTTTAGCATTTGTTGTAGAGCTGGTTTGGTGGTGCTGAATTCTCTTAAGCTCTTGCTTGTCTGTAAAGCTTTTGATTTCTCCATCAAAGCTGAATGAGATCCTTGCCAGGTAGAGTAATCTTCGTTGTAGGTTCTTCCCTTTCATCACTTTAAGTATATCATGCCACTCCCTTCTGGCTTGTAGAGTTTCTGCTGAGAAATCAGCTCTTAACCTTATGGGAGTTCCCTTGTATGTTCTTTGTTGTTTTCCCCTTGCTTTCAATAATTTTTATTTTTTAAAAATTTTTGCCAATTTGATTACTGTGTGTCTCGGCATGTTTCTCCTTGGGTTTATCCTGTATGGGACTCTCTGAGCTTCCTGGATTTGGGTGACTATTTCCTTTCCCATGTTAGGGAATTTTTCGACTATAATCTCTTCAAATATTTTCTCGGGTCCTTTCTTTCTCTTCTCCTTCTGGGACCCCTGTAATGTGAATGTTGTTGCATTTAATGTTGTCCCAGAAGTCTCATAGGCTGTCTTCATTTCTTTTCATTCTTTTTTCTTTATTCTGTTCCACAGTAGTGAATTCCACCATTCTGTCTTCCAGGTCACTTATCTGTTCTTCTGCCTCAGTTATTCTGCTATTGATTCCTTCTAGTGTAGTTTTCATTTCAGTTATTGTATTGTTCATCTCTGTTTATTTGTTCTTTAATTCTTGTAGATCTTTGTTAAACATTTCTTTCATCTTCTAGATCTTTTGCCTCCATTCTTTTTCTGAGGTCCTGGATCATCTTCACTATCATTATTCTGAATTCTTTTTCTGGAAGGTTGTCTATCTCCACTTCATTTAGTTGTTTTTCTGGGGTTTTATCTTGCTCCTTCATCTGGTACATAGCCCTCTGCCTTTTCATCTTGTCTATCTTTCTGTGAATGTGGTTTTTGTTCCACAGGCTGCAGGATTGTAGTTCTTCTTGCTTCTGCTGTCTGCCCTCTGGTGGGTGAGGCTATCTACCTCATCTTTTCTTGTTTTTCTCTGTTTCTCATTTTTTGTATGCCTGAAAAAATTAGTTCTTTATTATTTTCTCAGTTTGTGTTGTCTGCAAATCTCTTTTTTTTCTCCTTTAAGGAATATTTTTGCCTGATATATAATTCTAGCTTGTCCATTATTTTCTTTCAGTGCTTTAAGGATGTCATTTCATCCTTTTCTGTTTTTGTACTTTTTGTTAAATAGTCAAAGACCATTTTAATAGTACTTTTTTGAAAGTAAGTGTCTTTTACTCTGCTGCCTTTGAGATTCTCTTTGCCTTCTCAGTAGGTTATTTTGGTTGGACCTAGATGTTAGTTTTTTTGTGCATTTTATTCTCCTAGTTGGTAGGACTTCTTGAATCTGACTTGATATCTTTCATAGGTTTTGGAAATGTTTGGCTAATGTCTTTTCAAATATTTTTAACATTTTCTCTTTTCACTCTTTCTGTGATTCCATAAAACATATGTTACATCTTTTTCCAGTGTCCCCTGTCTCTTAACATCAATATTTTCTTTCCTTTTATCTTCTCATTGTTTCAGTTTGGTAATCCTCTGCTGATATATTTTCCAGTTCATGAATCCTCTTTTTAGATGTGTACAATCTGCTTTAAACTTGTATACTGAGTTCTCAATTTCAACTATTATCTTTGCATTTCTAGAATATCCATTTCATATTTTTTTGTAGATTTGAGTTGTCTAATGAAAGACTTCATCTTAACATCTATTTCTTGACCATATTAGTCGCAATTATTTATTTTTAACTCCTTGTCTGCAAATTCCAATATCTGGATCATCTGTAAGCTATATCTATTTTCTAGCCCCATTTCTTGCTATTTCTGTTAATGGTTGATTAAATATCAAATATTATGTGTGGATAAAATTTTAGGATCTTGAGACAGTGATGCCATCTTATTCCAGACAATACTCATCCCATCTTCCGGCTGATGGGGTAGGGAAATTTATTCTCTATTCAGTGAGAGACAAAGCTTTCTCTAAGCTTATTTTCAGAACTTTGTTTGCTCCTGCTCATAGAATGTACCCTGCAGGGTTCTTCACTAGAGTTTGGTGTGTATACCAAGGTCCCCCTTCCTGCCTGGCTCTGATATTCCTGGGAGATGGCCACTGCTCACTGTAGCTTTCCATTCACTTCAAGCTGAGCTCCTCATTCTCTCTCTGCACAATCAAGATTAGGCAGATGCCCCCCTGGCAAAGCCAGGGCAGAGTATCAAGCTCATTTCATCATACCTCCCATGTCTCTGGGCTCTGACACGTCAAGTCCTGGCTGTCTTGGCTGACCCACTTTTCTGTCCTCAACCCCGTGGGATTTCCAGTAGCTCTTCTGGCTCTGTGTTTGTTGCTGGCCCATCTGTATCTAGTCTCTCAGCTTGCACTGAAAATCAACAAAGCCCCAAGAGAAAAATGGCACAGAGTGTGGAACTCATCTGAATGGGCTTTTACCAGACCCTTAGCCTCTGGAGTACTGCCTGCCTTGAAAATTCTCTGATCCCTTGAAATACTTGTTTTGGGTCTGTTTTCAGAGTTTCTAGTTCTTAGTAGAAGTGTTGGTCTGATATAGGTTACTCTGTCATGGTTGAAAGCAGAAGTTCCGTGAAACAATTTTGAACTCGTTTTAATTTAAATTGCATGTTTTGTAGAACATTCTAAACAATAGTACCATTTGACCTCATTTTCAAAACTATTTTTCAGTGACTATAAAGATACTGGTAGACTCTAATCATTCCTGTCATTTTTTTTCTATCTATAGCATTTCTAGGATGACATCTGTCACACAGGCCTTCACTTGAGAACACCTGAATAAAGAAGTATTTTAGCATGTCAGTTGTATGATTCATTTGCTCTGTTAGCAACGCTGGACCTTTTTATTTATCTCAGAAGCAACTGCTTGGTGCTCAGTCATCCGGGAGACAAATATGAACACAGGCAGCCCCATTTTCTGACATGATTTGACATTTGGTATTTTAAAAATACCAACGTTTTTATCAAGGAAAAGAAACCAGAGAATTTTGTTGGGTATCCTAGTTCTTAAGTTTTTATTTTGTTTTGTTTTAATGCATAAGGAGAAGGACACAATAATACTGTCAATGCTTAAAATTTAAAGCATCTCAATCCAATCTTAATAATCCTTAATAACTGAAATTTAAAAGAGAAGAAACTGTTAATTACTTTGGATATACTTTATACATCAGGTCATAAATTCTGAGTCAGTGTCGAGACTCTAGCTTGTTTCTACATTTCCATAAAATATTATCTATCCAACCATCAATGGTTTGTCTCATGGGTGTTTTATTTGCACTTTCTGAAGAAGAAAAAGGAAAAAGAACACTATTTCAATGACTATTATTAACTATCAATGTTTTTTAAAAAACACCTTTTTTTGCCTTCTGTCTTTGCAAATCTTAATGGCATAAAGCTCAGTAACTGGCAGGACATACCCTTTTTCCAAATTCAGGGCAACAGAGATAAATGGCAGGCTGTTTTCTGTGAGCTCTGAACATATTTTCTGACTTGAATATGAATTCTAACTTACTTGCTGCTCTAATGCCTGGGAATTTTAAGGTTATTATGAGAAAGCAACACAGTGATTCCTGTTAATACTGAGGGGTATCAAGATAGTTTTCTTTATTTTTTATTTTTTTCAGAGCCTTGCACATTATCTTTTGATACAATGGAAAGTAATAATTTGCTCCTGAAATGGAGTTTTGACAATAGGCCATATATTTTGCACGGCGAGTATATTGAGTTTCTTTGTAAGAGAGATACTTACATTGAGTTTCCTATTATCGGATCGGAATTGAGAGTGCAATGTGACAGAGGGCAGTTAAAATATCCAAGATGTATTCAAAGAGAAAGGTAAGGAGAGGCTTGTACCTGCAACTATTTTTTTTTTTTCTGTTCAGGTTGTTATTCATGAGATTCATTATGTTATAAATTTCAGAAACATTAGGTTCTACAACAGTCCTACTTTATGGTCATTATAAAGGGAAAAAAATCACATTGTCTTTATTTTTTTAAACCAAGCCAACTCCTAGACGTATTAACTAATTTAACAAGCTTTCTGAGTGGTCTAAAGTCAAAGCACTGTTTGCTATTTGATATTTGTGACTCTTTGGCAATCGGGTAAATAAATCAATTTGAGCAATATTTAAATGTGGAAAAATTAACCTACATGTTCTGAGATAAGAGAAAATCACATTTTCTCCCATTTCTCATTAAAGGTTCGTAGTAATGATGGGAAACACAGTTGTAGAAACTTGATACTGAGGGAAGAGCATGTCAATAACAAAGATTAAAATTATGGTATTTGTTTTCAGGAACACGGTTCTATATAAGAATTTGGAAGTTATTTCTGAAGTGTTTTCTCATATAGCAATTTTTAAAATATATTTTCTACTACTTGATCAATGGAAAACAATCCTGTTCTTTTCTTAGAGAAACGTTAAAAGAATGCAATAAAATAATGTAATTCATTTTATTGGGTCAGAATTTTGCCCCCTGTGAAGATACATTATAACATGGGAATTATACTCTAGGTTCAACTAAGAACATTTTTAAATGACTTAAAAGTGCATGTGGTACTCTTCTAATGGTTATAAAGAATGAGCTGTATGAACTACATAAGGACAGTTTTTTAGATACTTGGAACATTCTAGGAAAAAAATTCATAAGACACACACAAGTGGAAAACTTTTTAACTTTTAATTGCGGTGAAAATCAGCAGAAAAATGTATGTGCTATTTAAATTTTTTATTATATCTTGCATTTCCTATTTCTAAGAGAAAAAGGAATAAGTAACTTAGAAAAAAAATTGTAGAAAATGGTGTTAGTGTAGTTAATGACATTGAGTTTTTAAAAAGAAATTGGTGGTATAATTTACCAGGGATGGTTACTTGCTTTTATCAGTACCTCATTAAAACAAGGACCAGTCATATGAAATATTGAAGGGCTAAGACTGTAATAAATACTTGACCAGAAATTATGCTTATTTCAACCTCCACCTTCTCTCTCTTTTTTTCTTATCAAGGATGTTGTCTTATCAAGAACCCTTAAGGACATGAAAATGAATGGCAAAAAGAAGAATAACATTTTGACACATCATAAAATCCTTTAAAAACATAACTGTTAGAAGAAAAATGTTGAATTAAAAACCTCTGAGTTTTTACTTGCATGAAGATTTGAATCTAAACTGTTTATGCTGGACATTTTCTTTATTTATAAATAAAAGCTACACATGCTATTGTTTCACTTCTGGTTTGGATGACTTGACATGTGACCTCATCTTTGCTGCATGTCTTTCATCTATTAAAACATCAATCTGCACATCAAAATATTTCTGGTTCCTAATGCCAGTTCACTGGACTATATTGTCTTCAATATATGTGCAAAAATTCACATTTGTCTTTATCGTCTTTGTTAATATCAGGGTTTTCTGTTACTTTGAGTTCAATATTTATGTCAACACAAAAGAACCAGCCACACTACACCTGAGAAACTATACATCATGTTAGAGGATTTACTTTATTAAATGAGCTGAGACTGCCCTTCAGACTTTCTAAGTGTAAAGAACTTTTAAAATTAACTGTACTATTAGCTACCATTTGTTAATAATCAAATGGTTTGTGAATTAGTGAACCTTCCACGTTTAAATGTTGCCCAAAGAACGCAGCTACGAAAAAGAACAACCCTTACTATTTTTATATTATACACCGTCAATTTTTTTCTTAGATTGGGTAATTAATGGAATCATGCAGATTCTGAAAAGTAAAACCTGAAGTCAGAGAGACCTGCAGGCACTGAAAAATGGTGTGTCAGTAATACTAGGACCTGTCAGAGGCCTGAAATACTGTGTTGTCACTTTTCAGTGTGAAAGAGAGTTACTCACCCAGTTGTTATTACGGCTCATTCGTAAGCACTACCTGGTTCTAGTACCCTTGTTAGGACTGGTTGTTGTTCCCAGAACAGCACATTTTTCCTCCCTAGAAGGTCTTCAGTTCTTCTAACTCAAGACCTTATTTTCCCAGTATGATGGCATTCTTCAAACCCCAACGTACAATTCCTGCTCCTGGGCTATGAGAGCTTCTCTGGAAATGAAGCCACACCTGGACTTAGCTCTGTGGATTAAACATGAATTCGTTTAATGTTCAAGCATGTATGTTTTAGAACTGTCCTTCCTTGAGTTCATATGCATTATTTCAATTAATCTCCAAGAGTAGTTTTTCACAGTGGATCTCATAAAATTGAAATTTGACTGAAATATCAATAAGAAAGTATTAATCCTTTCCAATTAATTCAACCAATCCATTAAGAAATGATACTGATCAGGTGTGGTGTCCCAGGAAACATGTTAGGTAACGCAGGATTCAGAGATGAATAAAATTCAGCTCATTATTTCAAGGAACTCACAATAAGGAACTACTTAGTTTAGGAAAAGAGTTAAACTTGTATTATTGGTCATAAACTCTGATGCCTGGGGGCAGGCACAACACGTGGATGGGTAAAGCAGGCCTAGTGGTATTTCTGGGGAACTGCTCACGGCATATGCTCTCTTTAACATGGGTAGCTTGCTAGCTTCCTGATTTTAGTTTTTAAATGTGGGTTTCTGCATTTTAAAAGTAATTTAGCAATGGTACATAAAATTTTGTGAGTTGTAAAAAGGTATTAATCTTTTTCCACTAATTCATCAATAAATCCATTTATAAATGATATTGAGTACCTGCTTTATCCCAGGAAACAGAAGTTTCGCTCAAGGAGGATAATTGTCATGTGGGAATATTGTATCCAGTATTGCCATGATTTGTTCATTGTGAAATCTACTGATTTTTATATGGGGGGGGTGCCTAAAAAAATCTGTGACTCACATCGTGGCTCATTAGCAGCCATCTGTAAACTCCAAATGCTAAAGCAATAAAAGTGTGAAAAGTACAGCGATGGAGCATGTAAAAGGAGTGGGATTGAGGAAGCAGTAATTAACTTTTTGGGTATTAACTGGGCTGTAGGAAGATTCCTGGAAAAAGTTAAGTTTACAAGACTAGGGAAGACATTCCAAGTAGAAGGAATGGCACACACAGAATCAAATACTGAGCACACACTATGTGCCAGGCCTGAGGCTCCACACTGGAGGTAAAGCACTGAATAGGACATGTTGTTTCTGCTGTTAGGAGCTTGTGCTCCAGGTAGATAAAAAGGATATTAAACAAATCATTACAAGATGCGGTGTGTCAGGAAAGATCCTATCTTAGGCAGCAAGGACCAGGAGGGACAACCTAGCCCTGGATGCCCAAGAAAGGCTCCTCTGAGGAGGTAATACGGAGGCTGAGATTTGAAGGGAGAAAAGAAAGCATTTCAGGTAGAGGAAAGAACACGTGGAAAACAGCAAAGAGCATGGTGTTTCCAAGAAGTTAATAAAAGTGCGTACTGGATTGAGTGGAAAGGAGGGAAGGAGAGAGTAGAGGAAGGCCTTTGTCCGCCAAACTAAAGATGCCGGAAGTCAGTGACTGAAATGAGATGCTTACAGTGGTTTTTTTAAAAAAAAAGAAAAAAAATGGTTCTGAGAAACATAGGGGCAGGACAGGAGTAAAGACGCAGACGTAGAGAATGGACTTGAGAACACAGGGAGGGGGAAGGGAAAGCTGGGACGAAATGAGAGAGTGGCATGGACACATATACACTACCAAATGTAAAATAGATAGCTGGTGGGAAGCAGCCACATAGCACAGGGAGATCAGCTCAGGGAGATCAGCTCAGTGCTTTGTGACCACCTAGAGGGATGGGATAGGGAGGGTGGAAGGGAGGGAGATGCAAGAGGGAAGAGATATGGGAACATATGTATATGTACAACTGATTCACTTTGTTATAAAGCAGAAACTAACACACCATTGTAAAGCAATTATACTCCAATAAGGATGTAAAAAAAGAAAAGAAGAGTAAGAAGATGAGCAGAGCTATCAACAGACCCTGGGGTTTAGAAAACCGAACAGTGGTTTTCAGAGTAAACCACTGTAAGAGAACAGGAAACTCTAGGTCCTTGAAAAATAAGAGTAGGTGGGAAGTAGACATAGACTAGCCGGCCTAGGGACCGAAATCCGTCTCGAAACTGTCTCAACCTAAATTGGATAAAGGTGATGTGAGGTAGCTGGTGTTTCTAGCCTAGTTGTCAGCTGGGAGCACAATAAACTCTCTGTGGAGAAGATGACATCATTCACAACCTTGCATTGTATCTGAGTTTCCACATTTAATGTCCTCAATTAATATTTTACAAGTAAAATTGTATTGTTTTTGAAGGAGAACACAACAGATGATAAACAACCTCTTCAACTTCTGCTATGAATATGCACAAGTAAAATTCTAAGAGATAACAAACTATAAGCTCTGAACAAAAGCCAAACTAACCCCCAACCCCAAACAGAAAACCAAATACATGGATGCACAGCAGAATGGAAAATAGCAGATTGTGGATGGGAGGATTCAGCTGAAAGAGGGTAATGGAGCTAGCTCTCTCCGGCACTAACCCATTTTTACAGGTTACTGCCTGAGAGAGGTCTGCAGTCAACACGTTTGCAATGGAGTTAAACCTTGGACTAAAAGAAAAAGCCCACAGCATTCTAGCCAGAGGTACCAGTGAAGCGGGTGTGGGGCAGTCACATCCACTGAGAACGGAGGCGGACGGGTAGATCAGACTAGTGAGAGCAAAGAGAGGGCCCCAAATTTCGTGTGTAAATTCTACATAAATTTCCAAATGACTCTTGGATATCTATGTATTGGGCAAATTCAGAGTAACTCAGATAAGAATAAAAAATAATTGAAATAAGATTTGAGCTGCCACCCCAAAATCAGTGTTCAGCTTGAGCCCACCAAGTTGTTAAAAACGTTATTTTTTGGAGGACTAGAAGAGAATCCAGAGTCTCCACATTATAACATTCAATATGTCTAGGATACAAGACAAAATTATGTGATATACAAATAGAAGAATGTGGTCCAGACACACTCACGGAGGTTGTTGAAGAGCAAACACCTGCACGCTGACAGCGAGGCTACAAATCAGGATGGACTTTCACTTGAAAGCTGCCTGGGTGTGAGGGAAGCAGATCACTGCTACCTGTCCAGTAGGTCAGCACTTATTTTAGAGCAGATAGAAACATACATGATGGAATTGAATGGTCTTATAGGAAAGCGGCCATGGAACCCAGACAGCCTCAGAGAGAGAGTGACAGTAGAAGGAAGACACTGAGTAACCTATGTCTTTAATAGCATTGTTAAGGTGAATATAAATGTCACCGGACTGTTCTTCAAATGTACCTCAATAAAGATCAATCACAATTACTGACGGCAAGAAGAGCCTGTTTCTAATACTCCAACAATGTTGAGCAGGCATGAAAATTAATGATGCTTTGGCAAAGCAAGGGCAAAGTTTAGATCAAGTTTCATTTTGGTCTCATTTAGATAATTCAAAATAAACCATCACTATTCCAAATACAAAAGTTATCTGCAGAGGCTTCCCTGGTGGCGCAGTGGTTGAGAGTCCGCCTGCCGATATAGGGGACACGGGTTCGTGCCCCGGTCTGGGAACATCCCACATGCCACGGAGCGGCTGGGCCCGTGAGCCATGGCTGCTGAGCCTGCGCGTCCGGAGCCTGTGCTCCGCAACGGGAGAGGCCACAGCAGTGAGAGGCCCGTGTACCGCAAAAAAAAAAAAAAAAAAAAGTTATCTGCAGTAATAATGGAATATTATTCATAGAATAAAACTCTACTCTCTAAGACTGGTTTCTGAAATAGGCTTCTGTAAAATTGGAGAGAAAAAGGGTCCATAATTTATGCAAGATGCAGATGCACTACTTTATGTAGACCTCCATAAGTATTTATTGAAATAAGCAGGATTTTGGACTACTTTCTTCTTCCTTTACATAGGTTGGAAATTTTTACACACACCCACAAATACACACGCCCTCAAATGTAAATTGTAAATAAATATTCATCTGCATTACTCTTACCTCCTGTGAAGAGGTTATAAGCAAAGTATTTTCATTGGAATTCTTCCTTTGTTGAAAGCAGAACTACAATAGTTTATCACTCTTTCTTTATACCAAGAAACAGTGGCAGCTGAACAATATTAAAATTAAAAGCAAGCCTGTTAGCAAGCTTAGCTACTAGCAAAAAGTAATCCAAGACAGTATTTTCTTAATCCGCAAAGATTTTTAAATGTACTAGGCTTTCATTGCTACAATGAAAAATTAGAAGTTATAAAGATAATAAACCTGGGGAAAAAAGTCACCTATTGAGAAAAATTCAACAAGTTTGCATAACAGACTGTACAATGTGAATTTCTTCCTCTCAAGCATTAAGCCAAAATATGGTATGGGTAACAAGCTATATTAGGGATAGATAAAATTTTCCAAGGTTGTAAAAGTATGGATTTTTATTTTTTTGGTGAAAATCATAACTATGTAACTTTATATATGTATACATTTAAAACTAAATTAGGTACTTTCCTGGCGGTCCAGTGGTTAAGACTCTGCGCTTCCACTGCAGGGGGCACGGGTTCAATCCCTGGTTGGGAACTGAACTAAGATCCCACATAGCTTGCAACACGGCCAAAAAAACCAAAACCAAGGGCTTCCCTGGTGGCGCAGTGCTTGAGAGTCCGCCTGCCGATGCAGGAGACGCGGGTTCGTGCCCCGTTTCGGGAGGATCCCACATGCCGCGGAGCGGCTGGGCCCGTGAGCCATGGCCGCTGGGCCTGCGCGTCCGGAGCCTGTGCTCCGCAAATGGGAGAGGCCACAACAGTGAGAGGCCCGCATAACGCAAGGAAAAAAAAAAAAAAAAAAAAAAAAAAACCAAAACCAAAACCAAACCAAAACAACCAAAAAACCCCACTAAATTAAAAATGACACTCTGTGGTTATAATGACATCTACTGGAAATCTGGGTTAATTACAGACAAGAAGGTGAATAAAATTCACCTAACTTCACCAGTAATAAACTCACCTAACACAGAACTAGATTGGAGTTAATGTATTTATATTCCTTCTTTAATACAATGTAGTCTCTCTGTAGAAAACAGCAACTTCTAAAGAAAAAGGCTTAATTACCTCTCAACCATTCCTTCCAACCAACCACACACACACACACACACGCCTTCCAGCCTTCAGGAAGCCTTAGAATCCTGATATGGATTTATCACATACATTTAAGAGGAATATCCTTCACATGAAAATAGAATATTATGTAAAATTTAAAAATTTTTAGTCTGAGTTCCAACAATAGAAAAACTTTGAACATCTGGAAATCACCTTTCACGTATAACTTCATAGAAATATTTCTTGTGCAAATACTAATTGGTTATAACCATCTTAGAGGAAATTAACACCAATAACATTTTATGTTGATTATATCCTAGTGGTATAATTTACCAAGTAAATAAATTGCTTACACTAAAATTCTGTTAAATGAAAGAGAAAAACAAACCATTTGGGAGAGTCAACAAAAACTATAGTATTTGGCATATTCTAAGTAACAAGAGTTCTCCAAACTTCAAACACTTCATTGGAAGAAAAAAAAAAATTCTAAAAATTTCTAGTTACTTTCAATATATTCTTTAATATGTCAATATGGTCTTTATTCTAACCAAATCTCAACAGTCTCTGACTAGGTTTAATCCTCATTCCAACAAAATAATAAAGTTAAGTAGTTAAATGGTCTCTCCATTTCTAGCTACTACTGATTTATTTCAAGCACTTTAAAACTGTCCTGGCCCCCATAGCTAGAGTCTTTGGGACCCGATCAGACTGCAAACAGCCACTGGAATTAGCCTTCTGTGGCTCTGGAATCACACTGGTTCAGTATTGGTAACAGTGACCCAAAGCTACTGAAAATAACAAGTCATGTTTCGACACTTGAGTCATCTTCAGGTCTGTGCTCAGTGACTAGACAATGAGTTTCTACTACAAGCAATACCTTGCTCTTCCCAGGTCGAATTGCAGCCCCACTCAGTTCAAAGTCAGGAGTTTTTAATATATGAAGGGGTAGGCTGAATTTGTCTAATTTCCTCAGAGCGGCTCATTTGCCCACCTTGATGGTCCTGTCAGTCAGGAAACAGGGGTGCTGTCTATGGCACTTGTGGGATTATTTTATCCTCACTTCTACGTGAGTTGGCAGAATCTTAAATTTTCAACATTTGTTTTAGATAAGTGCCTCAATTTACCTATAAAACAGGAATAATAAGCTAATCTTTTCCCCTTAGGAATATGATTATATTCAAACTAATATAATATTTTAAGACGACAGACATAGATAACAGTGTTGCAATCATGTCATGACATTAGTTTGTTATCTGCATAAAGCTATTAAAGAAACAAAGAATATAAAACGTTTATTTGTTACATACCTCTTTTTAACTTTAATACAAAGTCAGATTTTAAAAGTTGTACAAAGCAAGCCAAAAGCACTTTCCACACGTGTGATCAGCTTTCCTATTTCTTTTCCTGTACATACTGAGACGTTTGCCTTTGCTAATAAGGAATGCCAAGTGTGTCCATCACCATTTGAATAGCTTTCAGAGGATTCATGATTTCTTCCAAGTTATCTCTTTTCAACACCCAATCCGGTTTAAGTCTGTGAGAAGAATAAAAACCTTGCATTAATCCAGTTCCTCTCTTAGAAGACTCACATCCATCGCTTTGTCTTAACTGAAATGTGGTCCCTCCTGGACGCATCACCTCCCTCACAGGCCCTCATGCAGGTGGGAGGCTTCATGTTATCGCCGTTTACGACTTTAGACTATTTCTCTCCATCTTCCCTGAAGGATGATCCCGGCTCCTTTGAAGCTCAGGCTAGTCAGCTACCAAACCCCAGTGTTTGGTCTGTAAACCTGGTTCCTGGTCTTCCCTCAACTCCTGCCCCATCTCAGAACTTCAGCAGCCTTGTAGCTAAAGAGCCAACCCCTCACCTCTCCGTTTCTGCCCCCTTTCCTTTGGGTCCACTCAGCACACCCCCCGTCACACCACACAATCACAAGACAGCCGCTGTCACCCTCAGAAAGTGCCCGGCCACCGACTGCTCAGTCTGAGCCTTCCAGCACGAACCACCACTTGGGATTCATCCACGCCCTTTGCCTTAATACTTCCACGGCTCACAGCTTCCTCCCACTGTGGTGTCCACTTCAGGGGACCTCAGCATGTGCCTGTCACCCAGCACAATGCTGGTCTCCTTTCCCTCCCATCTAGCTTGGGTCCCTCAGTATAATCTCCATTGCAAATGCCATTAACGCCATTGTCGCTCTTCCCTGTTGCATGCAACTGGAAAGCTCTATGTGGATTCCAATTTGAATCCAGGTATCTGCCTTCTCCATTCCTGCACAGCTGGATGTTGCTAAAGAAAACCTGCACAACCAGGCTGGCTGATTTTATGCCAATGATTGAAATTACCTAGAAATTGCTTCCTTCCTCTTTCCCCAAGATGACTCTTTTCTTCCTCCCAAGTGTCCCCTCCACACCGTCCGCCATCTGCTTCTGAGCTAACGTTTATAATCTCCTTCACTGAGGAAACGGCATCACATCCACCTTCCTCACATGAATCCCTACCACTCTATGCACTTCCGTCTTCCTGTTCTTTCCAGTGAAAATTCCGAACATCTATGAATTGGGGGGTGGTCAAGCAGAGCGGGTATATATACCCCTACCGTGGAACAGCAGTCTGTGAAGGAAGAGATGCAATCTAAGCCATGCATCGACATGGATGAACCTCAAGAGCATTACGCTAAGTAAGAGTCCCGTCACAAGGAGCTACCTCTGTATGATTCCATTTACGGGACAAAGCAGAAAAGGCAAAACTAAAGGTACTGAAATCACATCAATAGTTTCCAGAACCTAGGGGTTAATGGGAGAGAACTGACTGCAAGGGGGCACAAGGGAACTTTGTTGTGACAGAAATATTTTATCTCAGTGGTAGTGCTTTCACAACTGTATACATTTGTCCAAACTCATTGAATTGCATACCTAAATAAAGGGTACATTTATACTGTTGGGAGTTTTACCTCAGAAAACTTGCTTATGTCAAAAGGAAAAAAAAAAAGAACCTGTTCATTCATATGTTAATAGTTTTACAACGTAGTTCATATTATAATATGCCAAGTCCTTACATGAAAACCATATGTAGAAATAGTTCCCATTAATAAATTTTAAGCAGAGACTATGTTTATGTTATACTGTGAAACATGCAAAAACAAAACCAATTCACAACTATTATACAGTTTACAATTATGAGTAATTACGAAGCTAACTGCTGTATAACCCAGGTCAAGAAATAGTGTATTGTCGGTGGTGCAGGATTTATACCTAGTAGACAATTGTCCAGTCATAGAAAGGAAGGAGCGAGAGGCAGAGAGAGGGAGGGGTTCTAATGACTCCTGCATCTAATTTATATCTCTAGACCATTTCCCTAATTTTTATCTCTAGACTGTTTCTTCTGCCCAGAACCAGAGAGCAACAACGAATGTCCTTACAAGCGACACAGAGGAGGGAGAGGGAGAAGAAGCCCTGTGAAGACTTAGGCGGAGGACAGAGCTATCCAGCAGCAAGCCAAGGACACTTAGCTGCCAGAAACTAGACGAGCCAGGGAAGGATTCCACCCCAGAGCCTCAGACCAGGTGAGGCCCTGCTGGCACCTTCATTTCAAACTTCCAGTTTCAAGAACTGTGAGAGAATAAGTTACTGGTGTTTAAGGCCACTAAGTTTGTGCTAATCTGTTACAGCAGCTCTCGGTAACTAATACAAGGTCAAAAAGAACTTCTCTAGGAGGAGAATTTTCAGGCATCGGGTGATTATGCAAGGAGTTGGAGGCTGATGTTTTGGCCACCAGAGACCTTCGCCAGCTCCCCAGTAGTGCAGCTTGTCCTACATGGAAGGGAAAAAAATGATACGGCAAAGCTTATTAGGAGCTAATTATCAGCCTTAGCACATACCTTGTTAGAACCAGGAATTTACCCAATAACTACTAAATACTCTTGGCTGCAGTGTTATTACTTCATTAACTGCTGAGATCGTCTCCTTTATATTTACCAAAGATTTTCTTCTTGTTCACATGCTGTTTCTCCATTGTCAAGCACAGTCTCTTGTTCATAGTAGGTGCTCAATAAATGTTTGCTAAGTGGATGAATGAATGAATGGTGACACAAAACTATAGGGTACATTTACTGCTCACCTTGAAACCATTCTGGTTCTTACAGGTGTTTCTGGAATAAAGGAAATGCTCATAGAAGATTTCTTCTTTTGTTTACAAAGGATTCTTTCAGTATTCACTTTATGTTTATGAGCTGTAAGTTTGTAGAGACTATAAATACGGTCAACAACTTTGGACCTACTTCGAACATCCTACAAAAGAACATGTGCATTTATTAAACTAATAAGAATTCTGTATCCCTTCTATGCTAGCAAAATCAATCACAGTATACAAACACTATGCAATAAATTAAGAGCTTTTAACAATAAAAAGCCGAGCTCTCCAAGTTCAGCAGTTAGATTGGTTTAAATTATGAATTTATAAGACAATTATGAAGAAGGCAAATATTCAAAAATTGTACACTTAACTCCATACTAAATAAAAAAGCAAACATTAAAGTCAATATACCTATTATACGTGGTTACCAAGTCCTGTGAATTTTACCTTCATTTTTTTTTTTTTTTAAGAAGATGTTGTGGGTAGGAGTTTATTAATTAATTAATTATTTTTGGCTGTGTTGGGTCTTCGTTTCTGTGCGAGGGCTTTCTCTAGTTGTGGCAAGCGGGGGCCACTCTTCATCGCGGTGCGCGGGCCTCTCACTATCGCGGCCTCTCTTGTTGCGGAGCACAGGCTCCAGATGCACAGGCTCAGTAGTTGTGGTTCACGGGCCTAGCTGCTCCACGGCATGTGGGGTCCTCCCAGACCAGGGCTCGAACCCGTGTCCCCTGCATTGGCAGGCAGATTCTCAACCAGTGTGCCACCAGGGAAGCCCCAAATTTTACCTTCTTAAAGTTTCCAGTGTTACCCACTTACCTCTGCCTGATGCGACCCCAGGTCAAGTACAGTCTCTTGCCCAGACCACTGCGTGTCTACACTTGCCTCTTTCCTTAATGGTCTCCCTATACCCACACGATCTCCCAAATCCATTCTTCGACCAGCAGCCAAAGTGATGTTAAAACTTAAACTGAGGGCTTCCCTGGTGGCGCAGTGCTTGAGAGTCCGCCTGCCGATGCAGGAGACGCGGGAGATATTTTATCCCACTCTCTAGGTTTCCTTTTCACTCTATCTCCTTTATCTCCTTTACTGTGCAGAAGTTCTTTAATTTGATGTAGTCCCATTTGTCTATTTTTGCTTTTGTTGGCTGTAAAAAAAAAAAAAAAAAAAAAAAAAAAAAAACAAAACTTAAACTGGAACATATCTCCTTGCTTAAAATCCTTCAGTGGTTTCCCGCTGTTCTCAGGATAAAGGCCACAGTCCTATCATGGCCTGCAGTCACCCCTGCTGACTGTAACTCCTGGAGAGGATGCTCAGAGGCCTACCGGAGAAACGCTTGTCACGTCTTTATGTCACAGCAGGGGGTGAGGAGTTGTGCACATCTGAATTTCTACCTTGCTGGGACAGCTGTTGCTTCTCTCAAGTACATGGGAGCTGGTTGCTCCTAGGGCTGTGATAAATTCTACTTCTAGAATTCAGCTTCTCTGACACATAAGAAACAACTCATATCAGCACAAAGAGCTGGTGTGAACACACGCAAAGCCCTATTTAAGTTGTGATAACTGCTTAGAAGTCTTGGACTTAAGAACATGTAAAGATAACCTCAAAGGAAAAAAACTGATGAGTACTTACAGAAGCTCGATTTGTCCTCTTCAGTAAAACAGCTAACAAACAACAAGTTTTTGTGAAAATGCTTCTACTCTTGTCTGCAACTTTGTCACCGGGCTTTTCTTGGTACATTTGCAGAAGCTCCAGCAGTGTATCTACACAGTTTTCTACATCGTAAACTGCTGAAGTCGTTTTCTCACACTGGAAGAGAACAGAACCAAGTTACAAATTATAATAAACACAGATACTGGGCTGGCCAAAAGGTTCGTTCGGTTTTTTCCGTAAGATGGATCTAGTAGCATCAGTTGTCTTTAACTTCATTCAAAACAATTTTGTTAGATTGTATATGGCAGCTGTCATATCAGTGTGCATTTAAAAAAAGACTAATCAAAATTGATGAAGTTTTGTGTAGTTATTTTAATATTGAAGATGGAAGAAAAAAAGCAACATTTTCAGCATATTCTGCTTTATTATTTCAAGAAAGGTAAAAATGTAACCGAAATGCCAAAAAAGATTTGTGCAGTGCATGGAGAAGGTGCTGTGACGGATCAAACGTGTCAAAAGTAGTTTGTGAAGTTTTGTCCTGGAGATTTCTTGCTGGACGATGCCCCACGGTCGGGGAGACCAGTTGAAATTGATAGTGATCAAATCGAGACATTAATTGAGAACAATCAGTGTTATAACACGTGGGAGATAGCCGACATACTCAAAATATCCAAATGAAGCGCTGAAAATCATCTGCACCAGCTTGGTTACGTGAATCGCTTTGATGTTTAGGTTCCACATTAAGGTAAGTGAAGAAAACCTTCTTGACCCTATTTCCGCATGCAATTCTCTACTTAAATGTAATGAAAACGTTCCATTTTTAAAACAAATTGTGATGGGTGATGAAAAGTGGATACTGTACAATAATGTGGAATGGAAGAGATCGTGAGGCAAGTGAAATGAACCACCACCAACCGCACCAAAGGCCAGTCTTCATCCAAAGAAGACGATGTTGTATATATGGTGGGATTGGAAGGGAGTCCTCTATTATGAGCTCCTTCCAGAAAACCAAACGACTAATTCCAAGAAGTACTGCTCCCAATTAGAACTGAAAGCAGCACTCGACGAAAAGCATCTAGAATTAGTCAACAGAAAACACATAATCTTCCATGAAGATAACGCAAGACCGCATGTTTCTTTGATGACCGGGCAAAAACTGTCAGCTTGGCTGGGAAGTTCTGATTCATCCGCCAGACGTTGCATTCACCAGACGTTGCATCTTCGGATTCCCATTTATTTTGGTCTTTACAAAATTCTCTTAATGGAAAAAATTTCAATTCCCTGGAAGACTGTAAAAGGCACCTGGAACAGTCCTTTGCTCAAAAAGATAAAAAGTTTTGGGAAGACGGAATAATGAAGTTGCCTGAAAAATGGCAGAAGGTAGTGGAACAAAAGGGTGAATACGCTGTTCGATAAAGTTCTTGGTGAAAATGAAAAATGTGTCTTTTATTTTCACTTAAAAACCGAAGGCACATTTTGGCCAACCCAGTACTTTAGAAACACCAACCAAAAAGGAAGCCAGACGTGATTAGAAGAGGTTCTGCTGTTCTGATACAGCGCAGTGTACAGGCTGTCAAGCTCCGGAGGGAGATGGACATGAACCCTCCACCACTGACCACACGCTGGTCCTCGGGCAAGGACCTTACCTCCTGTAAAGATGATTATCCCTTCACTACAAAATGGGAAGGATAATACCATAAGAACCACCTTAGAGGATGAATGGGAGGACTAAATTAAATGATGCATGAAGAGAACTAGCATATAGTTAGTAAGGCCTTAACTAACTTGCTGTTATTAATATTATAAAAACAGGAGAAATAAATCATAAAAAATTATGGTTTCTATGTACAGTTATGTTAACAGAGTAAACATTCCCCCCTGAAGACTCTGGCACATAGTAAATGACATTTAACTCGGAGATCTGAGTTCTAGTGATGAGCAAGCATAAACCTCACTTGCTGGGGGAGGTTTCTTGACCAAGGAACTCTTCATTATCAAGACGGAAACTACCTTGGCGACGTTAAGCAAGACCTGCACAGCATATCCGATGACCTCCATACAAGGGACACTACGGTTACAGCTTCGGATCAAGACAAATATTTTAGAAATTGCTCCACTCTGGGCCATATTCTCACAGCAAAGTGAAGACAGTCCAGTAACTACCTCTGAGGGGGGGGGGAAAAGAGATACATTCACAGCAACAAAGTCAGTATCGTATTATTATATTCTTTGTACGACTCAAGGGTAAAAACGCATTTCTAATCTTATACAAGATATTGTTAAAACAAACTAACCCAGGTGCTTTAGAGCCTCAAGAATAGCGGAAAGGTACTTGTATGTCAGGAGATAGTGTAGGGCAAGTGCGGTTCTGTGGTAGAGCTTGTTTTCTTCTCGAATCTCCCTGTTAACACACTGAAGTCTCTGTCGAATGGCTTTAATTTTTGTACAGTCGTTTTTCTTCCTCCAAGAATATCCTCTCCATAACGCCTTAAAGAGACAAACCAGTAACTTTAAGATTACAACCTCTGATGTTGTGGACTTAACATCTACATCTACTTTCACAAAGTAAATGTTTTCAGTAAAATTATATGATGTGATCTTTGCAACTTTGCAACTACAACTTCAATTCAGGTTCTAATAAATAGCAAAAGCAATTTTTCTAGGAAGAAATACATATAATATTCCTGTATGTAAGTTAAAGCATCATTCTCTGGCCAAAGACAGCTAAATCGATTCAAAAGGTAAAAATGTTTTTGCATCTTTCAATCATCAACTTCCTCTATGGAATGCAAAAATAAAGGGCTTAACAATGAAATTATGGTAGCATAGTGCATATGAATTATTCTATTGGCCAATCTCAGCTTTTTAAAATGAGCATGACTGTGCTTTTTAAAATGTTAGTTATTGGGGATTCCCTGGCGGTCCAGTGGTTAGGACTCGGCGCTTTCACTGCTGTGGCCCGGGTTCAATCCCTGGTTGGGGAACTAATATCCCGCAAGCAGTGAGGTGCAGCCAAGAAATAAAATAAATAAATAAAAATAAAATTCAATAAAATGTTATATATCGTGTAGATGAATTGCAAACCAAAGTCTTGAACTAAAATCATAATATTTTCAGTTACCTGAATTTTAGTGATTCTATTATTAAATTTTTCCTGCTTTTTACGGAGGAGAAAACGGCATACGGCTTTCTGTATTACTGATGCAGCCCTATTTTGCTGGCTCACACGTTCTTGAGCTTCATTCTGAATTTTTATGAAGCGATGTTTCTGAAGAAACCTCTTATGCTGTAATCTTGCTCGAAACCATCTCTGTTTAAAACATATGAACAGTTTTTTTACTTCAGGTTTCTTAATGAAATAAATAGAACATTTATTGAAATATCTTTCAACCCTTCCCAGTGGCATTACATTTCCACTCTAGTTGGTGCAGAAAATTCCAGGCCACAGTGGGTGTAAGTGTGTGTGTGTGTGTGTGTGTGTGTGTGTGTGTGTGTGTGTGTGTGTGTGTGTGTGTGTCTGAGAATTTAACCCTGCACAACATATTCCTCATTTCATAATTGATATAAATCTTATCAAGCTGTATATTATTCTTCAATTTGTTTCTTTACTCAATATTTTATATGTAAGTATATTAACATATACTGTACAAACAGGATTCTTATCCAGAATACATAAAGAACTCCTATAATCATTAAGAAAAATAAAACACTCAACAGAAAAATGAGCAAAGTATTTGGAAAAAAAAATTTTTAAAGCATACCATACACAGATAAGAATTTGAATAACCAACACAGAGGAAAGATTTTTTAGAATTGCTAGCAATCATAGGAAATCCAAACCAAATATGAGATATAATTTGCCATTTATCAAAATGACAAAATCACAAAGTCTTGTAATGTCACGGGTTGGCAAGGAGGTCGAGAGAGAGACAGGTGCCCTGGGTGTCGCTACATGAGGGGTGAATGCGTACAATGCGCCAGAGGATAACCCACAGCCTTAGTCCTGAGCCATAAAACGCGACTCACCTCTAAGCCGGCCAACCACCCTGACGGCTACATGGCAAAAGCTAAATACCACATAACTTTAGCAGGGGTATTTGGAAATTGTTTATGAAATACTAAAAAAGTTTCAAACAAAAGTTACGTCATAGTTTTACTGCGAAGGAAAAGCTAACCTGAATACGGATGGCTGAGTTAACCTGTTTATTATCAGTATTCTTCAGAGCCCTGTGAAGTCTGTACGCTCTTTGAATTCTAAGAGCAGACAGGTGATAAAAGGCAGCTGCTGAGAAGTGAAGAAGCCTAATTTTGGCTCTCTGTTCTAAAATCTAAGGAGAAAAAAATATTACCAACCAAATAGTTGACTCTTAAGACAATCAACCAACGTTTATTTTTGTATATCCTTAATACCAAATTATATAAATTAGCAACAGTAAACTAACTTGTAACTATTAAAATTATCTACATTGTAACCTGAAGTAATTATACTCCTTTACTATACAATACTTTCAATGGTGTAACCCCTAACTGAGGGTATAGAAAGCACAATTATATTTGGGCACTTCACTCAAAAATTTAACTAGACTACCCAAGGGCAGCTAGATAAGGCTTTGAAGGTACTAATTATAATGGGAGAAGTCTAGGAATAGTAAACTAAGAAAGGGTTAGAGAGCTCCAAGCAGAACCGTTGAAGATGGTGACGTTAAATCAGACAAACATTTGATCCGACCTCTCCAGTAGTGGTCTCGCCACATCCAGCACAAGACTTCTGCAGCAGAAGCTCCCTCCAGGGAGGGGCCTTTGGCCTTCAGAGTTTCAATTTATACTCTGAACAAAACACAAAAGATTTCTCCTTTAATTTAATTATTTTCTGTTTACCACTGCTTCATGTACTGGATGCCCAGAACGTCAAGAATTCTCTAGGGAGGATTCTCTCCTGCTGGAGGTGTAACGGAATGGTCCTACAGCCCCTGAGAGAGTTGCTTGGTGGTAGCAAAAGGTGACTTGAATAACAACCTCCTGAGGACATGGGGAGGGGGAAGGGGAAGCTGGGACAAAGTGAGAGAGTGGCATGGACTTATATACACTACCAAAAGTAAAATAGCTAGTGGGAAGCAGCAGCATAGCACAGGGAGATCAGCTCGGTGCTTTGTGACCACCTAGAGGGGTGGGATAGGGAGGGTGGGAGGGAGACACAAGAGGGAGGAGATATGGGGATGTATGTATGTGTATAGCTGATTCACTCTGTTATAAAGCAGAAACTAACACACCATTGTAAAGCAATTATACTCCAATAAAGATGTTAAAAACTTAAAAAAAAAAACTCCTTCACGTGTGGAGCCCTCCTCATACTTCAGTTCCTTTGTTAAGATTTATTACACGAGAAAAGTTATTTTGCATTTTTGGTGAGCATCTATGGGAAATAGGATCATAGAACAAAAATCTATGGCAACCAGTGATCTTGTTACAAGGGGCTCTTCAGAAGCTGAATAAATTCTAGTTAATGGTTATATCAGTTCTGAAATTATTCTCCAAAATCTCAAATTTCTTAACACAATTTAACATCAGGTATTTCCACTTCATAAAACTGAGATATCCTACATAAAAATACTTACCCTTTTTCTTACTAACCAACCACGCACCAGTGCTTGTAGAACAACTGTAGATTTTTTTAATTCAACATATTTTATCCTTTCACACTTCCCAGTCTTCCTGGCTCGTATGTATCTTTGTATGATCAAAGCAGCTGATTTCTGCTGGAGAAAGACCTGCCTTCCTTTATATCCTCTGAAATTTGCTTGGATCAAACAAGCAGCTTGATATCTCTATAAGGAAAAATTTGCAAGTGACACTAATAGATAGAAATAATAGTTCAACCCACTGGAGGTTCTGGAATTTCTCAATGAAAAATAACATGGTATAATTATGATTTTTTTTTTTTACATTTTTAGTTTAAGAATGTCATATTTCACAGATTTTGAAACCCACAGAGGGCTACAGCTAAAAATGAAGCTTTTATGAAGGTGCAAACCAGGGACCATAGATACCTGGTGCTTTTTCCCTCCCTTCCTCTTGATACTTTTCATTGTGAATGAGCAAAGGACTAGTATTACTACAGGACAAATGCATTTAATACAAAAGCTAGCTACACTCTACAGAACAGAATGGGCATTGTAAGCAGCTGTGAGGGAAGTTGTCTGCTGCTTCGAGAACCAGTGTACTCCCAGCACATCTTAGATTCCTCAATTCTAGAACATCCTGACAATCAAATTCCAAGACACATAAAGCATCTGGATTGAAACGAAAACTAGGTTTGTTTTACAACATAGACCCCCCACCTACTAGCTGAGTCACCTTGAGCAAACCCCTTTATCTCTCCAGACCTCAGTTTACTCATCCGTAAAATGGGAATGCTGATAATAGCTACCTCACAGAGTTATCATGAGGATCCGATTAGTTAGTAAATATATAATAGAAGGTGTAATAATAATAGTGTGTATATAATCATACATAGTGAATATGAACATCAAAATTTATAAGTAAAATTTTAATTTTGATTTCTTTAATAAGACCATAGGTACCACCATTGTTCTAGAACCAATGTTAAATATTTTAAATAGATTACCAAATGTGGCTTAAAGAGTATGTGTTGACTCATACAGACAGGATATGCTACATCTATTACGACTTTCTTCAAATAAATCACTTCAAATTGGGTCTGAGAATATGTTATAAAAACAGATACACAAACAAAAATACAAATAGTATTTTTATGAGTGAATATAATTTTTTTTTTTTGCGGTACGCGGGCCTCTCGCTGTTGTGGCCTCTCCCATTGCGGAGCACAGGCTGCTGACGCGCAGGCTCAGCAGCCATGGCTCACGGGCCCAGCCGCTCCGCAGCATGTGGGATCTTCCCGGACCGGGGCACGAACCCGTGTCCCCTGCATCGGCAGGCGGACTCTCAACCACTGCCACCAGGGAAGCCCAAGTGAATATAATTTTTAATTGACTGCAATGATGTGTTTAAAGCAAATGTATAGTTAGATCTTTAAATCATTTTTTGTTTTCTAAAGTAGTTCTTTATATATGAACTGTTTTTTTTACACCTACTTTTGTCATTAAGAATTGCTCATGAGCTGTTCTTCCAGAAAGTACAGCTCTCCATGTTCTCTGAATGATGATTGTTGATGCTCTCACGTTCAAAAACCTAAAAAGTGATTATTGGAAAGCAATTTCAAATTAACTCATTTAGTAAGTATTCATTGCCCGCACCCTATAATTACTAGAGGAGAAGAAAATATAAGAAAGGCAATGAGAGAATTAAAAAAGTAGAAAAGGATAATTCATACTTAGGTTCTAGCAATCAGAACTTTACAAACACACACACACACACACACACACACACACACACACAGTAACACAATGCAAAAGAAGTTTTACAATTGGCAATATTTCAGTGGTCAAGAAATATTAAGTTCTAGAATGACAAAAAAATTCTGAACAGGATCAGAAGAAAGTAGGATTAGCTAGATCTAGACAAAGCCTAGATAAAGGGGAGGTGGTAGAAAAAATGGTAGAGAATAAAGTCTGAGTCCACACTGTGAGCGACTCTTTGAGCAGACAGGTGTGGCTGAGAAGACAGCCTGGGAGGGTGGAGTGGCATCAGGCAAATAAGAAACAAACACTTGTTTGAAAGGAAAGATGGCATCATCAAAAGATTTTAAAAGGAATATTCTGTAAACAGAACTGGAGAAAAATTTTAAATGTGAGGGCTAGAGATTAAACTTTAGGCGTCAACATAGCAGTGATAACAATTAAGAATCGGCAGGCTCTTTCATCTGTTCACGATCCTGTGGAAAAGGGAGAGAGATTAACCTATGTCATGTCGCCACCTTTCCTAGAAAGTAAGGCTGAATATCAACTGGAAAAGCTGGATACTGGTCCTTAATAGCTGAGAGCAGCAATTATCTTTTTATTTGTTAAGCCCTGACTCTGCCCATGGAATTGATCAAGAAACGCTTGTAACACTAGTGTGCTCTCCTAAAACGATCTTTAAAACCATCACTGATATAATAACTCATCAATTCTGGGAACTGAAGAAAAAATTCTTACACTATGAAATAAAAAAATAATATAGACTATCTGGTAAGAACTACTGAAAATGTGTTTAAAAGAAATGAACTAGGAATAGGGAAATATGAGTAACATAGATAAGTTGGTAATTAGGTCTTCGTCATTAAGGATAAAGAGTACAGGAGTTAATACAAAGAAAAAAAAAAGCATAAGAAAACAAATGTTGCCAGGAGCTAAATCAACAAACAGAATGGACCCCTGCACTAACAAGGAAAACAAGACTTACTAGATCATTTTATTAACTTCCCATCCTCAGTCCCTACCCTTATCCTTATGAACCTGAGTTAATCAAGTTTAATATTTTCTCCTGGATTATACCATCAAGGCTGTATCTCAAAAAATAAGACAGTCTCAGAGATAATTTTGTTACATTATTGCAGAAAACACCAGCAAACCATACAAATTAAGCATAGCAACTATTTAAAAGAAAACCCAACAAGCAGTACTACTTGACACACAGACTTGGTTACGGCACATGCGCACGTGTGTGCACACACACCCCACACACCCCCCACACACACACTCTCGCCCACGCAGCTGACACATTTACCGTCTTCTCTGCAGTTTGGTACAGAAGCAACCCTGAATGATTCTAACAGCTCTTAACACAGCCAGATACTCTTTACGTGCTTTCCAACATCTGTACCAGGCTTGAATCTTGCAGGCAGCTTTCACTTCACGTAAATATTTCCTGGCTTTATGTCTCCTCCACACAGTCTATTAAACATATAAACATAACAAATATGCAATGAGATGTCTAATTTTTTTTTGTAAACTGGAAGACTCAGTATTGTTAACAGTTAATATAAGGTCAAGCAGACAGTATCAACTGCAGAAATGCAGTCACACCCCAGCTCCTCTGTGGGACTCGCTCACTCCGGACGTGAGCCCTCTGAGAACAGCGGGCTGACCTGTGACCTCCTACTACCTGCTTCAGCACATACCCTGCGGCTGGCTGCTGGCTAAACCCAATACAACCCTGAAAAGTATTTAAATTGTAAGATGCACGCAAAGCCTGGGAAGCCAGGTGTGTGCACTGCCCTCACCTTCTCAGTCCACGTGAAGGAACGAAAGGAAATGAACACACTGATGCCTCCAATTCCAGGGAAGGGACGGGAATTCTTCCCACTGCCCTCCCCACCCACTGCAGACACATCCTGGGTTCTGGGTCCAGCCTGTTGCAGAATCCTGAGGGCATCCATCTACCTGAAGACCACCAGATTTTCCGACTTTGGCAACCTTGTGGCTGACTAAAAGCTTAAGTAACAGCTACAACTTCTTAAGTGCTTAGCGCTATACTAAGCACCATAATTCTTTACAGTAACATAGGTAGGTAATACTATTATCTCTAATTTAGAGATGAAAACAATGCAGGCCCAGAGGAACTGACACCAGTAAAATTACTTGTTGATGTCACAGGTAATAAGTGACAGACATATCTTATTTAATCCTTATAAATACCTTGTGAGATGATTATTAAGATCTCTATACAAAAGAGAAATTAACATCAAGAGACTTGTTACCACATAGCCAGTAAGTGATAGAGTCAAGATTTGAACCTGAGTCTATCTGACTTCAAAACACCTACAGCAAATACAATAGCTCCACCTAACATGGGGATCAGGCTCTAAATTCAGTTGACAGGCAAGAATGATATATATGGTCAGACTTAACTCTTGTGATGTCCTTAACTCAGAGTATTTCTATATGGTTTTTATGTAAACAAAACCGAATACCAACATAGTAGTATTCATAGTGGAAGCCAGGTTATCAGTATTTTTAAAGATTCCAAAGTGATTTCAATGTGTGCTAAAGTTTAAGACCACTGGTTGGTATGTGTTAAAAACTAGATGTGCAACATGCACTTTTATAATTTAGTTATATAAAAGAAAAAACAGGGCTTCCCTGGTGGCGCAGTGGTTAAGAATCCGCCTGCCAATGCATGGGACATGGGTTCGAGCCCTAGTCCGGGAAGATCCCACATGCCACAGAGCAACTAAGCCTGTGCACCACAGCTACTGAGCCTGCGCTCTAGAGCCCACAAGCCACAACTACTGAGCCCGCGAGCCACAGCTACTGAAGCCCGCACGCCTAGAGCCCGTGCTCTGCAACAAGAGAAGCCAGCGCAATGAGAAGCCCACGCACCGCAACGAAGAGTAGCCCCTGCTCGCAGCAACTAGAGAAAGCCCCTGTGCAACAACAAAGACCCAATGTAGCCAAAAATAAATAATTAAAAAAAGACCCCAAAACCCAACAACTAATTACTAAAAAAAAAAAAAAAAAAGAAAGAAAGAACAGTTGAATTTTCCTAAGATTGTTATTTTTCTAACATAACCCCAACTAACACATGCACTTGACCCCCACCAGTCCTTGACTCCTGGCAGCGTCTGGAACTTGGGCGCTCCTTTCCTCCTCCCTCAACCCTTGGCTTCTTTATATCACAATCTTTAGCTTTCTTCGTTCCCTCTTAATACCATATGTTGGCTTCTCCTCTCAGCACCCCTGAATTTTGATACTCTTTAGGGCTCCAGTCCTGGGCCCTCTTCTTTTGCCGACTTCATGCATTCTCCCTAAGTGATCCCCTATCTCCCACAAGTTCAGTTATTAGTGTATGCCAACAACGTAGAAGTCAAATTCCGAAATCCATACTGCTGTCCAAATTACAGCAAACATAGTAACTGCCCCGCTGGACGCGTGGTGGTCACGTCAGCTTCACGTACCCCAGGCCGAGCTCATCGGGCCCCAGACCTGCTCCTCCCGTTGTTCCCACGTCAGCGAAGGGTACAATCTGCTGAGTCACCTCAGCCATAAAGATGGCTTGGCTCCTTGTTTACGCTCTATACAAGGCCAATCCCATGCTCCACTCACAATGACCCTGACAATCCTGCTGTCACTGCCCTCTGCTAAACGGTGGTTCACTTTCCCTGACTTACTGCCTGCAGTCTCCTGGCTAGCCGCCCGGCATCCAGTTCAGTCCATCTTCCACATCCCTGCCTGAGTAATGTGTTTGTTTGTTTTCGGTTGCACCACATGGCTTGGGAGATCTTACCTCTGTGACCAGGGATTAAACCCGGGCCATGGCAGTGAAAGGGCTGAGTCCTAACCACTGGACCGCCAGGGAAATCCCATCTGAGCAATTTTTAAAAAATAAACTATGATTCTGGTCTTCTCCTACTTAAACTCCTCTAGAACTTCTTTTAGTCCAGAGGATAAAGACTAAACTTTTTCTGTCTTACACAGCTGCCCACATCTCACTCCATGGATCGCATCCTGGTCGCAGGTCACCCTTTACTGCACACCTGTTCTCTCTCATTTTTGAACTCCGTGTTACCTCCTACAGCTGGAATACTCCTTCCATACATTTTATTTGGCTGTTTCCAGTTCGTCCTTCAGCTTAACATCTCAATTTAAATCACAGGGACTAGCTTAGGTTTCTCTTCTCTGCATTCCCAGCAACACACATTTCTCATTCTGAATTATCATGAAGAAATTTCCATACACTGAGGTATGGGCAGGTCATTCTGGCTAATACAGGATTTAATTTGAACTTTATGTTAACTAGAGCAGCCTCTTTTGTGGCCTATTAAACATATATTGTGTATCTGCTTTAACCATTAAAGAAAAGAATGCATTTAAAAATCAAAATGGATTAACTGTGGTTCAGTCATCCACAGTGGAGCCGGGTGGCCATTGTGGATGTGGTTTCAGACATGTTCCTACATCACTGAGAAATTGAACTGTATCAGACTCAAGGACACCACCAGCGGTTCTCAAAACAATATCTGCTCACAGCTGCCAGCTGCAGCCTGATGGTCTCAAGGTCTCTGCTTTTAACTGTGCAACCATAGTTGCAACAAGCTTAGGGTGTCACACTCAGAACAATCCCAGTTCTGTGCCGTCTTCGGTGAATTATTTTTGGCACCCTTTGCCCAACCTCAAAAATGTTCCATTTTGGAAGGTAAATGAAAAGGCCACGTAAACTAAGTATTAATCTTTACAACCTGCTTAAGCTCATTTTATAAATTCTAAGAAATACTGGTCAAAGAAAGAATGAAAGCTTTATTTTTTTCAATATATAAATACCTGGATTTTTATGGTGCTATCTTTAATTTTCTGAAACTTCCGTTTCTGTATAAATCCTTCCATTCTAGCTTGAATAACGATAACACTGCTTCTTATTTGTAAATAAACTTCTCTTTGACGTTTTGCAGACAAAAAGGCTCTGTGGCAATTTTGTAAAACGACTGCTGCTTCTCCATCCAATAAAAACTGTTTTCTGGTTTGCCTTCTCCTGAAATACCGCTGTAAAGCGATAGCCGCCCTCTGCTGCTGAATGAATCTTCTTCGATACACAGCCATCTGAAGGAAGGACTGAATTCGCACGGCAGCACGCTTGTGCTTTTCCAATCTTGTGACCATTTTACGAAAAGCTTTTTGAATTGTTCCTGCAGCCTTTCTTTCAGAATGATACTCGGCTTCCTGTAAGGGACCAACCAGAGAAGCTTTACACCGCCTTTGAACCATAAGTGCTGGGCTTTGGCCAGCGTCATACTGAGTTTCAGTTCTGTGACAGCAGAATGCAGATTGGGCAGCAGGGATTGCCATTTTTTCTTCGGGCATGTTTTTAAATTTCTGTCTAACTTTCACGCCGCTAAAAGCAGCCTGAATAGGTCTTACAGATTTCTGAATGGCGAAAAAATTTTTTCTTTCCATTTTTACTCTGGCATATGACCTGTAATAATTCTGTATAACAACAATTGCCATTTTCTTTGCCTGATAATCCACTCTGGCCCTGTACATTCGGTAGAATGACTGAATTCGGGTGGCAGCCAGGTGCATGAGTTGGATATCCCTTCGTGCCTTAAAGCCTCTGTAATAAGACTGTATACAAATGACTGCCTGGGTTTGCACTGCAACTAGTGTTCTGTACCTACTTTGAACAAAAACTACCTTTGCTCTAAAGTGGAGATGGTGCTTCCTAGTTTTAAAGGCTCTAAAATGCTTCTGAAGAGTAATGGCAGCCTGATGCTGCTTTTCCTGAATCTCTCTCCTTATAATCATATCCTGAAAGTCTGCTTGGACACAGGTTGCTGCTTTCTTGAGTACATTGTGTTGAAGAACTTTCTTTTTATTGGCTCTATATCTTTCTTGTATTACTTTTGTAGCCCACTGAAGCTTTTGGTAGAAAAAGTACTGTCTGTACATTCTGTATGTGCTTTGTATTATGACAGCAGCTCTGTGCTTTTCCCTTAAAAGCTGTCTTGCTTTCATCCCCTTATAGGCAGCCTGAATGACCACTGCAGAATGCCTTTGTTGGACATAATGCTCTCTTTGCAATTTTGCAGCTCTGTATGCTCGGTAATGTTGCTGAATGAGAATCGAGGCGTGTTTCCAGGTCTGAAAGGTAAGGTGTGTTCTGTGCATTCTGAAAGTGGCCTGGATGAGGGCTGCAGCCCTGTGCGTCACCTGTAACTTCTTCTTTACCATCAGCCTTCGGTAAGATGGCTGGATTGTAATGACTGCCTTCTGTAACTCCAAGAATTGGTGCAAGTGATGTTTGGCACAAATGGTGGCTCGATATTTCCTCTGAACAAAAATAGCAGCTTTCTTGAGGGAAAGGAACCTTTTCCTCATCACTAAAGATCTAAACCTGCTCTGAATCAGGGTTGCAGAGGCATGCATCTTTTTCAAATGTCTTCTGGTTTGCATACCCCTAAATGCAGCCTGGAGGACCACAGCAGAGTGTCTTTGCTGGAGGTAGAGCTGCCTCTGCAGCAGTTCGGCCCTGCTTGCCCGGTATCGCTGCTGGATGACCCGCGAGGCGCGCCTCCAGGCCTGGTATCTCACACGTGCACGGTGCCTTCTGAAAGCCGCCTGGAGAATGGTAGCAGCCCGGTGCATCTCTTGCACCTTCTTCCTCACCACCCACCCTCTGTACCAGGACTGGATTTTGAGGGCTGCCTTTTGTAACCGTAGTAACTGTTGTAAGCAATGCTTTGCACAAACATTAGCACGATATTTTCTCTGAATCCACACAGCGGTATTCCTGAGAGACAGGAATCTCCTTCTCATCATCAGAGTCCTAAATCTCCTCTGAGTCATAGTGGCGGCTGAGTGCATGACTTTTAAGTGTCTTCTAGCTTCCATCCCCCTAAAAGCAGCCTGAATGCAGATTACGGAATGTCTCAGTTTGTTATACCTTTGAAATTGTATGTTCCTTTCCCTCACTGCCCGGTACTTTTGCTGCACCATTCTTGTCACCTTCTTCAACTTATTAAAATAAGCTTGTCGTCTGTGTCTTCTGTAGTGGGACTGGATGAGTGTTGCTGCAGTCTGCATCCTTCTCAGGGTCTGTCTAACTCGTCCTCCTCTGAAACTGGCCTGGAGAATGGTAACAGCTTTCAAAGTTGTCAGGTACTTTGCACGTTGAGTTCTACCCTGATGATATGCTCTGTACCTTACCTGAATTATGACGGCTGCTGTTCTCATTTGATGATATCGCCTCCTTGATTGCTGCATTTTAAACATGGCTTTAATAAGAGTGGCTGCTGTGTGCATGTGCTGAGTCTGTCTTCTTACTGTAACACCTCTATAAACAGCTTGGATTTTCACAGCCGCCTTCTTTAAAGTAAGATATTCCTTACGCTGACAGTTTGCAATTTTAGTATCTCGATACCACCTCTGAATTATAACAGCTGATGCTCTGTAGGTGGCGTACTTCTTTTTGGTTTGGTAAGCTCTGTAACTAGATTGTATAGCGGCTGCCGCCTTGTGATGCTCCTTTATTTTTTTCCTCACTCTCATACCTCGGTAAGCTGACTGTAGGATTACTGCTGCTGCTTTGGTTTTCAAATACAAATGATGCTGTTTTCTCCCAGTACTGTAAGCCCGATAGTACATTTGAATCAGACAAGCCGCTTTTTTCATGGTTTTCCACTTATTTCGCTGCACGTACATTCGGTAGCACGACTGTATGAGGACAGTGCATTTGTGTTGCTTCTGAACCTGTCTTCTCACTGCTCTGCCCCTCCACGTGGACTGGAGCATCACTGCTGCAAGGCGGAGCGCAGCGTACTCCATCCGTTCCCTCCTCCCTGCAGCCCACGCTCTCAGATGTTGCTGGATGATGGATGCTGCCGTTTTTAACAACCCGAACTCTTTCTGGGCCTTGGCCATTCTGAAAGCAGACTGAATCTTCACTGCAGCTTGATGTTCCCTTCTGATCTGCTTCCGAACTTTCCAGCCACGGTAAGCGGACTGTAGAGAAATCACAGCTGCCCTTGTCTTTAAAAAATGTGTTCTTATGTCAGAAAGAGTCTTGTGTGTCCTGTACCATCTCTGAATCTTGAGAGTAGACTGAAGCACAGATTGATATTTCATCCTCTTACTGTAGCCTCTAAAAGCAGTTTGAATTTTAAGAGCAGCTGCAGATTGTTGTTTGATTAGCTGGCGTACCTTATAACCTCTGTAAATGGCCTGCAAGCAGATAACTGCTCTTTTGACTTGCAAGAAGTTCTTCCTCTGATTGACCTGCGCTTTGTATGCACGATAGTAACTCTGAATGATAACAGTTGCTTCATAGATTTTCAGGTAGTACAGGCGCATCTTTCTCATCCTGAAATGAGACTGTAGTGAAACAGCAGCTTTTCTCTGCAACCTCACTTGCTTTCGAACCAGGTACCCTCTGACAAAAGCTTGCAGTTTGATGCAAGATGCCCGCAAGTGATCTTCTCTCTTTAGTGCAGCTGCTCTTAAATGTAAATATTGTTTACGAGTTTGCTTCATCTTGACAATGGATTGTAACTTCACTGCAGCATTTTTTAGCCTCAGAAATTTTTTTCTGGAAACATAAGCCCTGTAATATGATTGAATCCTTATAACAGATGTGAGGATGTGAATAAACTTTTTCCTGGCCTGCATTCCTCTATATGCAGACTGCAGAACAATGACAGCAGATCGTGTCTTCTGGTAAGAAGCTAGAACTTTCTTGGCTGAAATGTAAGCTCGAAAATGAAACTGAATTACAAGGGCAGCTTTCTTCATCTTCTTATATTTCTGTAATTGTTGATGCTTCCTTATGTGTGCCTGCAATCTGATAATATTTTTCTGAAGGTTTAGAAATCGAAGTCTGTCCTGTCTCATTCTCCAGTATGACTGAAAGACACAAGCGGCAGTGATCTGTTTGCGTAAATTACGAGCTTTCATTCCCCTGAAAGCGGCCTGTAGTCGGATGGCTGCAGCCCGTTTCTGCAAATAGCTGGTGCGCTCAACCTTTCCTTTCAGATATGCTTTGTAGTACTTCTGGAGAGACAGGATAGACTCTTTTTTCCTTTTATATAACTTTTGGGCTTGAAAGCACCGAAATCTTGTCTGAATGATGACAACACAAGATCTAATATGAATGTATTTCCGTAATTCTCTCTGCATCCTGTACCAGGATTGTATGACCATGGCAGCTTTCTCTTCTTTAACCTGTTTCCTGACACACCGCTCTCTAAAAGCTCTTTGCAGTGTTACTGCAGCTTCTGTTTGTAACTGCATTTTACGTTGCCTCCATCTTCTGAACGCAGACTGGATCATAAGGGTTGATGATCTTAGCATTTCATATCTCTGTTGATCCTGCTTTCTTCTTAAACAAGCACGCCAATGCCTCTGAATTGTAACTGCAGCCCAAAGGTATCGTTTGTAAGAAGCAACAGCAATGATCATTCTTATCCTAGATTGCAGGATAATTGAGTAATATTTCAGCTTCAGAAACTGTTTTCTAGTGGAATATCTTCTCCAATATCTCTGAAAAAGGTAAGAAAGGACACAAAGTAAAATAGACACATATTTCTATACTTAACACCCTTGAAAGTATTAACATTTCTAACATTTTGCTTAAAAACAAAGACATTAATTTTAAAAGCGATATATTTTTAAAGAAGATACTTGTCTCTTTTGTTTATAGTTTAGTTTCTGTGTTGATACAACTGTAGCCAATCCAAACTAATGATATTTATATGGCATTTGTATTCAGGAGACATAAGAAATATAAACAAGTTTATGCTATATTAGAATAATATATTAGAAGATTTAAAGTGAAACTATAGTAATATTCTGCTATCTATTGATTCTAAGTAATTTCCTATGAATGTATCTCTGGATCTTATATTTTCCCCTTTTATCAAGATTGCTAAGCTATCTTATAATGATTGAAAACTGTTTATAGGAGGGACCCTGTGTTACAGGCCTGGTAACGTCAACACAGGATTTTGAGAAATGTCACTGAGCCATAGCACTCTGAGTCAGTATTTTCATTAAGAATAAAATTTAGGAATTATAGATACATGGTTAAAAAGTAGGATTCTGGAAAGACTTGAGAAGTAATAAAGCTTTTTCCTCTTGCTTCCTTCCCAACCACCCCACGTTCCCTAACTCCTTAGTTATCCCAGCAACATGCGAGCTACGAAGTCTCAAGTGGATCCTGGCTACTGGTCATCAAGCTCTGGATGTTCTTCTCGCAATAAGACCATTCCTTTATCCAAAACACTCCAAATATTGCTAAGATGTGGCAGGGACTAATGGAAGGATTAAAAGTCTCAGGAAAAAAACCATCAAATATACAACTAAGAACCAAATGGGAATATTAGAACTGAAAACACAATAACCAAGACAACAGCAACAAAAAACCTCACTGGCATGGCTCAGTAGCAGAATGGAGATGACAGAAGAATCAATGAACTTGGAGATCAATACAAATTCTCTAGGCTGAACAAGAAAGAAAAAAATGACTGGGAAAAAAAAGAGAAAGAAATGTCTCAACAAACTAAGAGTAGAGGGGAACCTCCTCAGTATAATAAGAACATTTACACAAACCTACAGCTATCATCAGATTTAATGGTGAGAAACTAAATGCTTTCCCTCTTAGACCAGGAATAATACAAGGATGTATCCTCTCACCAAGCCTATTCAGCATCTACTAGAGGTCCTGCCTAATGCAATAAGAAAAGGACGTAAAAGCTATGCAGACAGAGAAGAAATAAACCTTTTTTTGTTCATAGATGACATGATCATTTATGTAGAAAATTCAAAGAAATGACAAAAAAAAAACTCCTGGAATAAGCAATTATAGCAAATTTGTAGAATATGGAAACATTAACATTAGTAGCAAAAAAAAGAGAAATACTTAAGAATATATCTAACAAAATATGCACAAGATGTGTCAGAGCTACAAAACTGTGCTGAAATATAACACAGAATATCTAAATAAATAGAGATATATCATATTCATAGATAGGAAGGCTGGATTTTGTTAAGATGTCAGTTCTTCCCACCTGGATCTATCAATTCAATGTCATCTCAATCAAAATCTCATCCAGTTACTTTGTGGACACTGGCAGACTGCTTCTAAAGTATATAAGGTGACACAAAATACCCAGAATAGCAAATACAATAGTGAAGAAAAACAAAGTTGGAGGACTAACATCATCCAACTTCAAAAGTTATTATAAAGCCACAGTAATTGAGACAGTGTGATACTGGCAAAATAAGAGAAGAATAGATCAATGGAACAGAATAAGGAGCTCAGAAATAGACCCATGCAACATAGTCAACTGATGTTTGATAAACAAACAACACAACTGAATGGATAAAAGATAGTTTTGTCGGGCTTCCCTGGTGGCGCAGTGGTTGAGAGTCTGCCTGCCAATGCAGGGGACACGGGTTCATGCCCCAGTCCAGGAAGGTCCCACATGCCGCGGATCGGCTGGGCCCGTGAGCCACGGCTGCTGAGCCTGTGCGTCCGGAGCCTGTGCTCCGCAACGGGAGAGGCCACAGCAGTGAGAGGCCCACGTACTGCAAAAAAAAAAAAACAAAAAAAAGATAGTTTTGTCAACAAGTGGTACTGGAAGAAGTAGACATCCATATGAAAGAAAAGTGAGTCAAGCACTAACTCTTAACCTTTCACAAAAATTAACTCAAATAGATCATAGATCTGAATGTAAAATGCAAAACTATAGAACTTCTGAGAGATAACAATAGAATATCTAAGTAACTTTGGGTTTGGCAATGGCTTTTTAGATATAATGTCAAAAGTATAATCTATGAAAGAAAAAAAATTGATGTCAGAGTTTATTAAAATCAAAAAAAAAATCTGCCCTGTGAAAGACTCTGTTAACAGAACAAAAAGATAAGCCATAAACTAGGAGGAAATATTTATAAAATATAAATCTGATAAAGGGTTTGTATCCAGTTATACAAAGAACCCTTAAAACTCAACAATAAAGAATTCAAAAATGGGCAATAAGAATTTTAAAATGGGGAAAATATCTGAATGCTTCACCAAAGAAGATATACAGATTGTAATGGCATATGAAAAGATGCTTAACATCAAATGCACTAGGGAATTGCAAATTGAAACAGCAATGTGATGCCTATACACATCTATTTTAATGGTAAAGTCTAAAACAGTGACAACACCAAATGCTGGCCAGGAAGTGGAGCAACAGGAACTCTCACTCATTGCTGGTGGGAATGCAAAATGGTACAGCCACTTTGGAAGACAGTTTGGCAGTTTCTCACAAACCTAAACATAGTTTTGTCATATGATCAAGCAATCCCATTCCTAGGTACCTACCCAAAGAAGTTGAAAACCAAGTCCACAGAAAAACCTGCACACAGGTGTTTATAGCACCTTTATTCATAACGGCCCCAAATTAGAAGCAACCAATACGTCCTTCAATAGCTGAAAGGATAAAAACAACTGCGGTACATCAATATGATAGAATGTTATTCAGCAATAAAAAGAAACAAACTATCAAGGCAGGAAAAGACATAAAAGAAACTTAAATGCATATTGTGAAGTGAGAGAACCTATCTGAAAAGGCTACATATTGATGAGTTCAAATTATAGGACATCCTGGAAAAAGCAAAAGTATAGAGACAGTAAAAAATCAATGGTTGCCCAGGATTTTGCAGAGGGATAAGAGACGAATATGTAAAGCAGAAAGGATTTTTAGGGCAGGATTTTTGTCAAAGCACAACTATACCACATAAAGAGTGAAACCTATGGAAACTAAGGACTTTAGTTAATTACAATGTTCATAAATTGCAAAAAGCGTACTATAAAAAAAGAAAGCAAAGCAACAGAAATGAAAAGCATCTGCATTAATAGGATATTATTCTCATGTACTCTTTAAAATATTTATTATGATCGAAAGCAAAACTTATAACATTGCCTGATGTGATTTTATTTGTACGTAGGTTTAATAAATGAGACCGCTAAAACATAAAAGTGGGGGGAGCAAAGGGACCTAGATAGTGGTAAGTTTTCTACATTCCATTTAAAGGGATAAAATATTGATTCTAAGTAGATTAAAAGTTTTTTAACCTGAAATGCCTATAGCAACCAAAGAAAGGCAAAAAAACAACCAACCAAACAAACAAAACCCAAATAACCAAACCCCTGTACAAGGGGATAAAATAATAACTAAAAAGAAAAAAGATAAACTAAAATGTAACACTAAAATGTCTTCAAATAATTGAAAAGACAGGAAAGGGTAAAGAGAAGAATGAAAGAAAGTGAACATTCAGAGAACTAAATAATAAAATGATAGACCCAAATCCAAACATATTGATAAATATCTGAAATATAAATGGCATAAATCATCAATTAAAAGACAGAGATTTTCAAAACATAAAAACTATATGCTGTCAAGACTTTAAGCCATATATAATGATGTAAGCAAATAATAAGTAAAAGAAAGGAAAAAAATATACCCTGTGAATGATAATCAAGTGAAAGCTGAAGTGGTTATAGTAAGAGGATGCAAGGTTGACTTCAGAGCAAAGAAAAATTTGAAGGATAAAAAAGGAACATTACACAATGATAAAAAACGATTAAAAAATTTCAACTCACCAATGATAAAAAATGATGATAAAAAACAAAACTCAACTCACCAAGAGGACATAAAAATTCCAAATGTGTATGCACCTAACAAAACATCTTCAAAATACATGTAGATAAAACCGAAGGGAGAAAGATATACCCACAATTATAGTTAGAGACTTAAATACTGCTCTCTTGGTATAAGACTAAATAAACAGAACACCAGTTAGGATATAAAAGAACTGTTAAATATCATCACTCAAGTAGATCTAATTGACATTTATAGAACACTCCACCCAACAACAGAATACACATTCTTTTCAAGTACACAGAACATTCACCAAGATCAAAGACCAGCAAACTCTGTCTGTAAAAGGCCTATTGATTAAGAGAAAATAGCTGCAAATCACTGACAAACAACTTGTACCCAGAATATAGAAAAAGTCTCAAAACTCAATAAGATAAGCTCTCAATTATAAAAATAGGCAAAAGATTTCAAGAGATACTTCATAAAGAAGATAATCGAAAGGCAATTAAGCATTTGAAGACATATACATAGTCATTAGGAAAATAGAAACTAAAACCAAGACACCACTACACATCCATCAGAACGACTGAAAAACATAGAAATCCATGTTGCTAAGGATATGGAGCAATTAGCATCCTTACACTTTGGGGGTGGGCAGCAAAGTGGGTTAAGCCACTCTAGATACAGTTTGGTGATATCTTATGGAGCTAAACATACACTTACCAAATGACCCAGCAATCTCATTCCTAGCTGTTTACCCTAATGGAATGAAATCACCTAAAACTGGAAACAATGCAAATACCCCTCAACAGATTAATGTATAATCAAATTGTGGTACATCCATACAATGGAATACTATTCAGCAATGAAGGAGAATAAACCACTGATACATGCAACAACTTGGATGAGACTCAAAGGCATCCTGCAGAGAGAAAAAAAAAAAACAGTCTCAAAACCTACCTACTGCATGGCTCCATTATGTGACATTCTCAAAAAGGCAAAACTATGGGAATATAGAGCAGACCTTGGGTGCCTGGGGCTGGGTGAGGAGGGAGAAAGGACCGCAAAGAAATAGAATGCAACAGTTCTTCTGGGAGATGGAACTGTTCTGTATCCTGATTGAGGTGATGATTTCACAACTGTGTTTAAACACATGTGTATGTGTGTTTAAATCTGTGGAACCACACACCAAAAAAAGAAAAGCACATTTTACTGAGGGTTAATTTAAAAATTAAAATTTTAATTTTAATCAATGTAAAGTTAAAATTTATTAAATTAAAATTTTAAAAAATTTATAATATACCTAGGAACAAATGAAGATATTTAAGACCTCTTGCATCAGATTATAAAACCATTTTAGGAGACTTTTAAAGAAGGCCTAAATAAATAGGAAATAAATACCATGTTTAGTAGCTAAAGATATCAATTCTAACTAAACTGACCTATTCAATTAAATCTCAATCAAATTCCCATATTTTTTAAACTTCAGATTCAAAATGTGTGAAAATGCAGAGGACTTTAGAATAGCCAAAAACTTCTTAAAGAAAACAAAGAAAGTTTTATCTACCAGACATCCAGATTTCTTGTAAAGCTAGAGTACATGGCTCACTGGTAGACAAAAAGAACAATGAAATAGAAAAAAACTCTGGAAACAGAACCACATATATAAGAATATTTGATGTATGCTAAAGATAACACAGCAGGGCTTCCCTGGTGGCGCAGTGGTTAAGAATCCGCCTGCCAATGCAGGGGACACGGGTTCGAGTCCGGGTCCGGGAAGATCCCACATGCCATGGAGCAACTAAGCCTATGAGCCACAACTACTGAGCCTGCGCGCCTAGAGCCTGTGCTCCACAAGAGAAGCCACCGCAATGAGAAGCCCGCGCACCACAACAAAGAGTAGCCCCCACTCGGTGCAACAAGAAGAAAGCCCGCACGCAGCAACGAAGACCCAACACAGCCAAAAATAAATAAAAATAAAAAATAATTAAAGATAGCACAGCAATGAGGCAAGTGTGGTCATTTCAGTAAATTGTAACTGAAACAATGGCTATCCATAGATACAAAAAGAAAAATGGTCCCTAACACAAATCATATGCAAAAATTAATTTCAAGAGAGATCTAAATGTGAAAGACAACACATTAAAGGATTCAGAATATAATACAGGAGAATACCTTCAAGTCCTTAGGTTGAAAAAACACTCCTTAAATGGTTCAAAAAAAAAAAAAACCACTAACCATAAAAGAAAATTAAGAACTTTCACTGAAGACATAAAACTATAAACCACGGTCTGGGAGAAGACATTTAAAACGCACATATCCAACAAAGGTCTGATAACCAAAATAGATAAAGATCTCTTACAAATCCACAAGAAAGCAAACAATCAAAATAAAAAACGGAAAAAAAGATCCTTGAAGAAACACTTCACGAAAGAAGACTTTCAATATGAAAATGTGTTCAATGTCATTCATTATCAAGGGAATGCAAATTAAATCTATTCTAAGATACCACCGCAAAACGACCAGAATGGTGACCAGGATGGCTAAAATTAAAGAGATAATTTCCAAGTATTATAAACAGCTGGTGGTGCTATAACCACCTTAGAAAAGTCCTTGGCAGTATGTACTAAAACTGAAATATATATACTCTAAGACAAACAGTTGTACTCGTAGGTATATGCCGAACAGAGTGAATATATTTCACACAAAAAGGCACATTTATAAAAGCTTTAGTCATAACAACTCAAAACTAGAAAGCCAGATGTCCATCAACAACAGAACAGACAAATAAATTGCAGGATATTATAAAATGAAAGTTAAATCACAGTTACACTCAACAACACTGATAAATCTCCACACATTTCATGTTCAATAAAAGAATTCACACTGTCTGAACCCATCTATGTAAAATTCAAAAAACAGGCAAGACAATATTAGAGCATTTAAGAAAGATGTATAGGAAAAAGGCATGATTAGCATACATTAGAATAATGGTTACCTTCGGCTGGGCTGGGGGATTAACTGATTGAGAAATGCCTTCTGAGAGGCTAACAATATTCTATTTCTTGACCTAGGTTGTGGTTACATAAGTATTCACTTAGTGAAAAACCATTAGGCTCTACATTTGTGTTTTGTGCAATTTTCTATGTGTAATATTCCACATTAAAAAAAAGGTTCAGAGAAAGAGAATTTATTAAATCAGAATCTCTCACTTTCAGTAGTAGTAGCCAGAAACAAATCTCCAAATTTATAAAATAGATTAAATTCAATGGCATTTACATAGAGTAAATTTAAATAGTACACCTCTCTGATGTTATTAAAATAGAATGTAATATCAAAGACTAACATTTGGATGTAAGGAATATGTCCATTAAGTAAAGTAGATAAGTACACAGAACATTCAAAAAACTTTTTTTTTTTTTAACTCAGTAGAAAAATTACATAGGCATTCTATAAACTGATTATAAGTAGTATTTCCAGCACTTGCCAACTAAGTGGGCTGGAGAGGAAGATGTACACTGTTATCCCCAAAGAAGTTTCCAGGACTCATAGTAAAGATGAAAAAGAGAGTGTGGCTGGGTTTATGGATATACAAGGTAGAAGGGTACAGTGTGCCAGCATAACCCACAGTGGAAGATTGCAAACCTCTAATGTAAAACAAAGAAGACAGCACGGGGTACAGAATTAGACTGTTCCCTCCTTCAGAGCAAAGGAGGTGTTTCGATTTGTTTGACCCTTATGCTGAACACAGCCAAGAGTTTTACATGTAGTAGGGAGGTATCAAATATTTGTTAAGGTTAAGTACTAGATAAAATATAGAAGCCTAAAATATAATAATTTAAAACTTTATCATATTTTACTTTCTTAAAAATGTCATTAAACCTTTTTAAATTAAAAAATTCAGAATACTATACCTGAATAACAGATGCTGATTTATTTTGAACTTTTTCTAGTTTTTCCTTTTTTAACATTAATAATTTTCTCTTTGCTAAGAGTCTTCGCCAACATTTCTGAATGACCAATGCTGCGTTGACCTCCTTTTGGAATCGCCGTTTAGTTAGAAAATTGATTACAGCTGACTGAATAATTCTTGCAGCTTTGTCTCTCTTCTAAAAAAAAAAAAGCACTTAATCACTTAAGACCCTAAACCATTATTTGTAAGAAAATCACCTGTTAAACATTAATCAAATCGATCCTGGAAATAAAATGTCCCCCAGACTTTTTGTAAAATATGCTCATCTTTGGAGTATAGACACTTCTGGGCATGTTGAAATAGATGATATATTGTTGAACATATTGAATAGACGTGCAGATATATTTATATGATAAAACAAAGATTCCTAGGAAATATCATCCTAAGATAATGATCACAGACATGTTTGATTTATCACAGATCATCGGTAATCAATATAAAGTCAATTTAAATGTGGTATGTGTCTCAGATTATGGTGCCGTGAATTCATGTGTGATTTTTGAGAAAGGGATGGATTGTAGGAGAAAAAAAGAGACTCTAAAACAAAATGCTTTACAGTATAAGGTGGTACTGTTTTGCTACAATTTGAAGAAAGAAATTCACAAAAAAGGAAAGGCAAAATACCCTCCTTTACCCCCAGAATACATTGTGGCTTTAAGCCATAGAGGCTGAAGAGAACAGAGTACTGGGTTGTGATAAGTGATGCCAGGACTGCCCTGCAGCGTCGGTGGCCAGAGAGGAGCTGGCTGCCCCGGGAGCGCTAGAGGCCAGTGCCCTGCACATCTCTACTTCTTGCTTCTAATCATGAATTAGTATGAATAATAAAAGATTAAATACCAGGTGTCAGGCACCATTCTAAACACTGCAGGAATGATTCATCCAACCTCACAACAACCATTAAGAACAGATGAACAGGCACTACTCTCATGGTCATGAGGAAACTGGGGCTGAGCGCTCAGGTAGATAGTCAGTCCACCAGGAGGATGGCCAGGATTGGACGTAGGTAGTCTGGCTTCAGAGTTCGTGCTCTTAATCATTTTGCTATACTCTTCAAGGCTAGATCTATCACTTCAGTTCACCTGAATTAGAAACTGGAATATAAATTATTCATCTAGTGAAAAGGAACAACTTAAAGATCGTCTGATAACCCTTTGCGTTGCTGTCTGGGACCACGCACTACGCAAGAGTGGGCTCTACACAGAGATTAGCAGTTTGGCTCTACACAGAGATTAGCAGTTTCCTAGGGAAGGGGTCAAACTGCTATTCTGACAGAGGAAAAAGGGAACTAATGGACTGAAACATATACTAAGGAATGGTGGGGGCCATATATTGGATCACACCCTTGAGTGAGGAAAGACTAGAAAGTTCTAAAATTAGGCTGAGGAATTATGTCCAACAAGTGGATTAAGCCATCTAACATCATTGTCAGTGCCCTGTGAAGCCTGTGGCCTTTAAGGCTATAAAGATCCAAGTTAAAAGCACACCCCACTTCACCAACACCCACAATTTCAAAACATATCACAAAACCACAATAATCAAACAGTGTGGAACCAGCATAAAGACAGATATATAGAACAACGTAACAGAATAGACTGCCCAGAAATAAACCCCCATGTAACTGGGTAATTGATCTTTAACGAGGGTGCCAAGACCACTCAATGGGAAAGGGACAGTCTCTTCAATGAATGGTGTTGTGAAAACTGGTGTTTGGATACCAACATATCAAAGGGTGAAGTTGGACCCTTATCTCACACACTATACATTTATTAACTCAAACTGGATGAAAGTCCTAAACATTCAACCCAAAGGTATAAAACTCTTGGTAGAAAACATAGGGTAAAGTTTCATAACATTGGATTTAGCAATGATTTATGAGATATGACACCAAAAGCACAGGCACAAAAGCAAAAGTTAGACAAAATGGGATTACATGAAACAAAAAATTTTGTTCATCAAAGGACACAATCAGAGTGAAAAGGAAACCTACATACTGAAAAAAAAAAATTTGCAAATCATATATCTAACAAGGAACTTGTATCTAGAGTATATAAGGAACTGTTAACAACTCAACAATAAAAAATCAAATAACCCAGTTAAAATATGGGCAAATGAAGATATTTCACCAAAGATGACATACAAATGGCCAACAAGCATACGAAAAGATGCTCAACAACACTAATCATCAGAGAAATGCGTATCAAAATCACAATGAGATATCTCTAAACTACTACAAACAAACAACCAGAAAACAACAACTGCTGGCAGGGATCATGGAGTGGCTGGAATCTTTGTTCACTACTTGTGGGATTGTAAAATGCAACCCACAGTGACTACTATTAGAAAACAGTATAGTGGTTCTTCAAAAAAAATCAAAAATAGAATTACCATATGATCCAGCAATACCACTTTTAGGTAGATCTCCAAAAGAACTGAAAACGGGGTCGAAAAGAGGGATTTGTACACTCCTGTTCATAGCAGCATTATTCACAATAGCCCAGAGGTGGAAGTAACCCAAATGCCCATTGAATGGATAAACAAAATGTGGTATATACACACAATGGAATACTATGCAGCCTTTAAAATGAAGGAAATTCTGCTGCAGGCTACAACATGGGTGAACTTTGAGGGCATATGTTAAGTGAAAGAAGCCAGTCACACAAGGACGAATATACTATATGATTCCACTTATATTAGGTATCTAAAATAGTCAAAATAGAAAGTAGAAAGGTAGTTACCAGAGATAAGTTGGGGAGGAAATGGGGAACTGTAAATGAGTACAAAGTTGCAGTTCTCCCAATTGAAAAATTTCTGGAGATCTGTTTCACAACAATGCAAATATACTTAACACTACAAATGGTAGTGGTCAGTAAACTTAAAAACTAGGAATAACCTAAAACAGTTAAGATGGTATATTTTATGATACGTGTTCTTTACCACAGTTTAAAAGAAAAATATTTCAGGGGAACAAAAAGCACCCAACTTATTAGCTTAATAAAGAATACAATGCAGTTCAAAAGTAGCTTTTGAGTCAAAAGCTATAAGGACCAGGGGCATTTTTGGATGTAATAAGTTGACGTAAAATGAAAGTGAATTCAGCTTGTAGACCATCTCAATCTCAAGCAAACTAATGTGGAACAATTGTATGTGACATTAGAAAAGCTACAGAAGGAAAGTAGATAAGTTCAAAGAGCCAAATATATTACAAAAACTAGCAACTATTTGAAAACTTACATAAACCAATGGCAAAAGTTACCATACCTGCAGTCACTGACAACATGTCATCATTTTTAATTCTACCATGTGGCTGAGCCAACCTGTTACCAGTTTATTTTTATTTTGCTTTGTATATGTAAAGGAGTTACTTTGCTTTGGAACTGGTGCCTGTTCACTCAGGAAGAACTAAGAGGTAGAATGTGTCGGGGACCCTTGGATAAGCCTGCTTCATTCGTCAGGGAATTTGGGCTGTTTAGCCAATGCTTCTCCATCACAACAAGAGCTTGAACCATTCTATTCTCAATAAATAGTTTATCTAAATTACAATAATGACTAAAGGAAAATACAGAACCTGGAAAATAGCTACCTCAAGGTAATGTTTATGTGCTTACTAGCTTGTGATATTTCTACAGGAATATGAAGGGAACCTGCTGCTTAATGTTCCCAATAGCAAATGAAGAGGTATACTTGGATCTTAGTGTAATTGTGTAAGAAAAGGAGTATTGTCACCTGGAGAAAGGAGAGAAGCAGTGGTTTTCAAATAAAAAAGGGAAATTTCCAATACTTGGACAAAGGAAATAAATCAAGAAAAGGGATCTTATGAGGGAAAAGCTAAGAAATTTCTGGAATTGATATGTGTGATTAATACAAGACTACCTTGAGCAGAAAACTAAGATTTCATTACCAAAAAAAAAAAAATCTAATTGATACCTGTTTCTTAAAATCTTAAATGTCTCATTTATTGCCATATAAAAAGAATTAATGAACTAATTTGAGGACTGGCCAGGAGGGTGCCCTCCCTGAAAACTTTGCTAAAACAATTCTCCGAGAAGCCTCCAGAAGTGCAAGTTATCCTCCAAGGATATGTGGGCAAGGAGGCAGACCCTGGGAAGATAAGGGGCAAAACAAGGCACAGAGAATACGTGGCAGCAGAGAAGACCCCTTGCGAGTGTAAGCCACTGCCTACTTCCGAAAAGTTACTACCAAGACTTAGTGGGGCCAGAGCAGATTATTTCAATTAGTGTTATTTCCAGGTCTGATATGGTGTGAGAGAAAACATGGTATGTTTATGATTCGCCAAAATTTAGCTACTTTACAGCTACTAAGAACTTTATCATAAGTGCATTGTAATTCAAAACCAAGGAGCAATCCTGGGTGAAATGTATTTCTGAAACAGATCTGATAAGATTTCTTAAGCATGGCTGCTTCTTTGATTTCTCCAAATAAATACAGCATCATTAGTGGAAAGAGTACTGAGATAAAAGGATTAAAATAGTTTTTTCAATTTGATCAAGGAGACCATTTCTCAGATTGTTAAAAATGACATTTTTCTCAGAACTCAAGAAAACCCTTATTTTATGTTAATGCAAAATTCATACTATTGGGGGTTGCAAAGGAAAACAGTAAATAACATCCTTCTCCCTGTGCTCAGGTCCTAAACATTTTGAGAAATAAAACGATGGAAACCAAAATGCCGCTTTTAAACTAACAAAGGATAACCTAGAAGACAGTTTCATGGCAGACAAAATGAGCTGGCTAATTGAACTGCAGAATCAGGCAGGTGACACCCAGGCCCGAATGGCACCGGTTGAGGTCAAGCCTTCCAGAGCACAGCATGAAAAATTAAAGAAAACTCCTGTTTCCTGGAGGCAAGTCAGAGTCCAGGAGGAAGGAGGGAAGAGCTGAGTCAGACCTCTCCAGTTAACTTTTCACCAATTTACAACGTGGTTAAGGTACTCCATGTCCCTTGGGGCAGAGGCTGGAAGAAATATTGAATGAAGGAAACATGAGGAGTTAGGGGAAAATATTCATCCCCAACTCAAAACACACACAATTATGAAAATTACCTCAGTAATTTCCTACCTCAGTAAAACGTAAGAACAGTATCAAGAATCAATCAGCTGACATCTTATGAACTACAGTTTAGGTTATAGTGTTTTTTCATTTTTGAGGAGTACCTGATGGCGTTTTAGATCCTTTTTTAGCTTATATTTTCTCCAAGTTGTTTGTATAAGTCGAGCGGCTCTCGTTTCTTTACGAAGATCCAAAAGCCTTGCACAAAGAAATGACAAATAGGTAATAACCACCTAAGAGATAACATAAAAGATGAAAACAGAAGTTTCCATGAGACAGAGAATATAAAACTTCCTGTCATCTGAGACTCTGATTATTAAGAGGTATTATTGGTTAAGAAACTTTTACTTACCTTCTCGTCGGGAATTGTATTCGACATATCTGAGTGATGGATCATAGCAGGTATTCCACCGAGGTCTCTAGCTGCAGACCTGACCAACTGAAAATTCTTCTTTTCGTTTTCTAGGAGTTCTTTGTATAGTTCCGAAGTACTTTCTGCAATGCAAGTAAAAGAGAGAGATCAGATTAGACTGCTCTTGCCAGAAATCAGACAGGCCAATGAAAAAACCGGAAACGTTAATCAACCAAAAGGGACTAACCCTGATCAAGTGCTTTAAGAGACAAATCCAGGGAACTTTCATCAGATTCAGATGATGAGTTTAACACCACAGAACCAGTTTGCGTACACTCTACGGTTTGGGTGGTTCGCTGACATATGGCAGCAAAAGGCACATAGCAAGGATGGTAGTGGTGGATCAGGTAACATAACACCCGGCCATCTGAGAAAGACACTGTAAAATTCTCCACCTGATTGGAAATATCAGAAAAAGAATGAACAGTATTTAGATAGGAATATAGATTCTAATGGTTTTGTAGTCCATATTTCCTTTGAATAGCTGACGATCACGTTAATTTCTAGTAGCGCCTAGTATAATACCATATTCACGGCCAAATCCTCATCTATAAAATATCAGTTATATTGTTGTTCTGGGTTGGACAGTGTTTATCAAAAATTCATGTCCTTCCCAGAATCTCTGGATGTGACCTTATTTGGATACAGAGTCACTGCAGGTTTAACTAGTTAAGGTGAGATCACACTGGAGTAAGACGAGCTCTTAATCAGATGTGACTGGTGTCTTTATAAGAAAAGGAGAGACGCAGAGACAGACACACAGGGAAAATGCCGTGTGAAGACAGGCAGTGATTGGAGTGATGTGTCTACACAGCAAGGAAGGCCAAGGGTTACCAGCAGGACAGGAAGTTAAGAGAAAGGCATGGGACACATTCTCCCCCAGAGCCTCAGCACTAGGGTCTTCAGGGCTCTCTAGTACTTAATTAAAACATAGAGGATTACCCATATATTTGATGGTTATTCTGTTTTATATTCCTTACCAGATATTTTATTCATGTGTGTCAGGACCATTTATTTTCATGTATTTATACTTAAACGTACATTTCATACAGAAATACAGGATCGATCTAACAAATGATTATAAAAGACACAGCTTAGACCCCTCTCCTCCTCTCTAACGACCCTCTGTGCATGGGGGGGTTTATTTGCATTCACTCTTGTAATGAGGGTGTGATCCTTTGGCCCACAGTTCAATGCAAGCATCTCCTATTAAGACTCCCAACTAGGGCATTTTTTTTTTCTTGGTGATACATAAAATAATCGTGCATTATACAATTGGTGACAAATTAGATGACACTAGGTATGTGACAGTACCCTTACTCATAAGAGGAAAAGTTTGCTTATACATATCAACTAAATTATTTAAGAAATTAAAGAAAATATTTCACATGCTAAGTTTGACTTTAACCAAAATTTATTTAAAGAAACTGGGCTAAAACAAAGAACTTACTTTTTTATTGTAGAAGTCACAGACAGCATTTACCCAATCCATCAGTAGCTTTACGCTTTCACTATATTGTTCAAAGTGACCACTATGCCTTTTGTCTTTTTTCTTACTGATAACAGCATCAGAATGGCATGACAGTGCAGACATTGTTCTCTTCATACTCTGTGTGTGCTTTAAAAAGTCAATTTCTTCCTTTAACTGATCTAAATTAAGGGAAATATCCACCTGAAATACAAAAAGAGGATACATATCTTTATATTTTTCATATATTATTTTTGACCCACAGAAGCTAAAGTCTTCTATTATCATGATTTTTTTTTTTTTAGGCAAACACAATCTACGTGGAAGTGATGGAATGTGTAAGTGGTTAAGTGCATGGGATCTGTGGCCACACAAGCCTGGGTTCTGATCTCCTCTCTGCTTCTGTTCAATGCTGAACCCTGACTCCAGTCTCCTCCTTCCCCTATGAAGTAATGACAACAGCTACCTTATAGGGGCATTGAGAAGATTAGACTGGAATATACTTAAAGCAGTTACCACAGTTCCTGGGACAGAAGAAAGTCTAGTTAGTAATAACTACTACTGTTAGTCTTTATTTGATGCAAAATGCTTTTATAAATCAATATTGAAAATTGATAAAACGTACAAAATGTACCAAATGTACAATACCTGAAAAGCCAATACTATCTTCCAAAGCAAAGCCAGAGTTTTTTCTTTGTGCCTATCCACAATATCCTTAGAGAAGATTGTACTTCCTGCAAATGGAAAGATAGTCCGTTAGCACAATATATGTACACATCAATTTTTAGTGAGAAGAAAAGTTTTATAGTCACTCAATTTTTACCATGCTCATCATTCAACTGAATTCCTCGTGATTTAAGAACTTCAAGAACAATGTCAACATTATGCATCTTTTGAAGACGACTTATTGCAGGAATCCTGAGTTTCTTTGAGAGATTCCAGTTTCGTGTGAGAAGTTCCATGGTTCGCCTAACAATAAAGGAATTTTCAGATGAAATTGTTAGATAAAAACATACATGAAAAATGAACTTCATTTAAATAAAGTAATCACCCACATCAATCTTCCCGATTTAAAGGGTTTTAGGTTAGAAAGACCCCAAAATACTATCTCAAAACTCTGTTTCTTCATAGTTAGCAAATAGAGTTATTTCTCATTTAAGTCGGGGGGTTAAGGTCTGTGAACAGAATGTAAGAATGAAAAATAAGATGCACACACACAAACGCACACAGGAACAGAACAACAAGGTTCTATAGGGAAAGGAAAGGAAAATGGACATTTATTGAGGGGCTACTGTATTCTACACATCAAGTAAGTGCTTTCTTTTATTTTAGTCCCCATGGCAAATCCCACAATCAGGCATTATTATCCCATTTTTGGCAGATGAAGAAACCAAAGCGCAGAAAAGTAAAGTAAATTGCCTGTGATCATACAGCTAGTAATGACAGGACTAGCTGTATCAGAACTAAGACCCAGTTTTACAGTTTCCAAAGCCACGCTCTTATACCTATACCAGATAAGATAAAAATGTTTGAGTGCCTACCTTAAGAAGTCATTTATACCAGAGTTTAAATTCAAACTCTTAGCATCATCTAGTGTTTTACACTAGACAAAGATCCCTGTTTCCATAGAAAAATCAAGCCCCAACTGATTACCATATATAGTTAAAATTTGGCAGAATTGTTTACAGAACCATATTTCTAAAGGTTAGGAAGCAATGTACGATCATTGTAGGCCAACCACTCAGTCAACATCTGAAGTGTTTGTGCAACACTAGACTGACTGCCACCTACAGCATCAGTGGATTAACCGTTCCCAAGTATCCTCAAATGACCTTGAAGACCTATGGTCATTTTGCTGACACTGGAGAAAACAGAAACTTGGTATGCAAGATCGAGTCTCTTAACTAGCAAGAGTTCCTGACCAATGACAAAGCATCAACACCCAACACTGGGAAATCCTCAGTAACTCCTGTAAAAGCACAAAAATGTCCTTCATTGTCAAAAATAGCACTGAACATAAAGCCAATCACTGCTCCTCCTGGACAGTGGAAAAAGTCTAAAATCGTGAATTCCTACTGGCCAGAAAACAGATGTGGTGGCTTGGATTTATGAAATGAAAAATTAAATATAAAAATAATATGGAAAACATTATCAGCAAACTCTCTGGCCTATATGGAAATTACTCAAGTGAGAGGAAGCTACAGTAAAGTTCAAAAGACTGTTACCTTGCCATGAGAATATATGATCAGAAAAGAAAAGAAAGTTCATGGAGATTTAATTTAGAAGGTAACAAGGGACATGCGTGCTGTTTTTGAAGAACTGGGGATTCAGAGATATAGGGACCCCTTCCTCACAAATGTCAAACGTAATATAGAGAGTTTCCTAGAAACGAGACGGATGTCTTCCTAAAGAGCCAACCAAGGCACAGTGTAAAGGCCACTCCTTCCAGAGCAGGCACTGGTAACTGTTATCACACCAAAGCCAATGTTGAGGATTCCAGTTTGTTACTGAGGAAACAGCGTAGGATCTGAAGCCAGACATCTGGAGCTGATGTCCACCACCACTGTATAAAACCTGAGCAAGCCACTTTACATCTTCATCTCACGTTTCCTCACGTGTAAAACAAGGTTAACACGACTAAAACTGGTCTCAAATGATGCACTCATGAACCCACTGCAGACGTAAAGCATTATTTAAATGTTTGCTAGTTTAATTAGTTCCGTGCTGTCCCCAACTCCTATTCTGGGGTATCGGTGGTTCCTACTCAGACACTGTCACATGCCAGCAGGGAGAAAAAAATGTGGATAGGAGACAAGGTTTCTGGGCCTAAAACTGGCACCATTTTCCCAAACTTATCCCAACTTTTTTAAACCCTAGATTTATCCCATTACATAAAGGAGCAAGAAAGATTGTGTATGTATAGAAAAAAGTGTTTTCCAGAAAATTTTAGCCTATTCTAGTGAGCAAAATAATTCCATTTCTTATACTTACACAAGACGCACCCCACACTGCAAGTCTACAGCAAGATTTGTAACAGCAAAATCAAATTCATCGAAAGGTGTCTGAACATGGTTCACAGGTAATCCCAGGAAGCTCAGGTGACGGGAAAGGTCACCTTCACCGCCTAGGAAGTTTCGTGAAAAAGCTAGAAGAATTTCTTTACTAGCCTATGGAAAAACAAGTGGCAGGTATTATATTCTAGAATTATAATTTTATTTACAATGAAAACAAATTCTTCAAATCATTCTGTGCGTATAGAAATAAAATTAATAGTAGTATAAAAAGACGGTCAGTTTCATATCCTATAGTAACAATGCGAACCTCATATATTTTCAATTTAAAACCTTTAAAGAAAGTGCTCATAATTAATAATACACTCTAAAAATTAGCATTAATTTGATAACATACTAAATTAGGAAAGAAATTTTCTCCCAAATTAATTCCTCAGAAGCATAGTGACATTCATTCTCAAATCAAAGTTAAGAACAGGGTGATATGCTGGTGAAATGTCAACCAATAAAAAGTTAGGCAGGGTTAGAACTACTGGGTAGGCATTCTTATTCTACTCCAGAGTCCTGTTCTTTGGGAAACTCACTTTTTCTAAGGAGGAAATATACAATAAAAACAGGCAAAAGTCTTAAATGTGAAATATAAAACAAATATAAAACGAAACTATACCTTGAACTCAGCATCTTTACAGAAGAGACAAGGATCGTGATCAATAAGTCTGCAGATTTTAGCATAATCAAGGAAACAAACCAGCAGCAATAGCTTTTTCAATGTAAACTTAGACAAAGCTTCTTCATGACCTGAAATAAAATACAAAAAAGCCTAGCAAGTTAACCTGTGCAAGTTTTGTTTTGTTTTGTTTTGGTTCTGAAATATCTTTCTATATTTATTTATTCTGCTGTGCTTTTAGTCTATATATCCCTACTAAGGATTCTTGAGATGTGTTTTATATTTTAAAGTCAAATTATCTTGGAATTCTTTATAAAACTCCTTATATTTACCTTTTTCTTTTGGCTGGGTTGGTTGCTTTGTTTTGGCAGGGGGAATGTAAATTGGTGCAGCCACTATGGAAAACAGTATGGAGGTGCCTCCAAAAACTAAGACTAGAACTACATGTGATCCAGCAACTCCACTGCAGGGAATACATCCAAAGAAAACAAAAATGCTAATTCAAAAAGATACATGCACCCCAATGTTCATAGCAGCATCATTTACAATAGCCAAGAGATGGAAGCAACAACCTAAGTGTCCATCAACAGATGAATGGATAAAGAAGATGTGGTATGTACATAATATATAGACATATATACATATCTGCAGTTGAGGCAGAACCACTTACCATCTCCATATAGATGAGGAACGGTTGGGTGCCTGTACTTGGCTGCGATATCAGGATTCCAAAGCAAGCGATTCAGAATAAACATTGCCAACCCTGTGACGTCACTGTTGTCTTCCAAAGGGATGAGTTCCCCATATATTGTCTAAAAAGAAATTCATGCTAGAGTTGGGACTGTGTCATCTGAGGGGCAGTGGGATGCAAAAGGGGAAAGACAACAACGGTCTAAGAAACTGGTGCTGTTCTACGTCCTAGATAGCATGGGAATAATAGGAATATTTGCTACAACTCTTTGGACTGAACATATATGTTTTGTGCAATTTTTAGTGCATATAGTATATTTCACAATGAAAAAGAGATGAAAGCTCATGACTAAGACAAATTCTTAAAAATCATGTGACAAGTAATATTTACATTTTAATTTTTTCCTTTAAGAACTATCAAATGTAGGCCTGTTGCTCAAATTTAATTATAACTGTCCCACAGAGTATATCATGAAGGTACAACAGACACGTAAATAATTCTAAACTTTCTAACAGTTAACAAATGGAAAACCATCTGTAAACCATGGTTCTAAACCATCTGGGACGCTCAGATCTGTATATAATCAATGACTAAAATATGTCATTAATTTAACGTCAATATGATTATTATTAACGATTTTTAAAGCAATTAGAAAAAACTAAAAATATATCAAATTATATTTTATAATCTTACACTGACAAAACTAGACAAAAGCATGGAAAAGTATTAATATCTGCCAAAATACAGAAATTTTATCTTTGTTTACTTTCTTTTTTTGCCCTGTGATGCTTTTTTAAGATCCTCAAAGGTCACACCCACTAGCAGAACCCTAAGGTGTGGTGTGAAATAGAATGTTTTGTCCACAATTATGCAACCCTCCCTTCCCTTTAAAAAGTCTTATTCCCGGGCTTCCCTGGTGGCGCAGTGGTTGAGAATCTGCCTGCCAACGCAGGGGACACGGGTTCGAGCCCTGGTCTGGGAAGATCCGACATGCCGCGGAGCAACTAGGCCCGTGAGCCACAACTAATGAGCCTGCGGGTTTTGAGCCTGTGCTCTGCAACAAGAGAGGCCGCGACAGTGAGAGGCCCGCGCACTGTGATGAAGAGTGGCCCCCGCTCACCGCAACTAAAGAAAGCCCTGGCAGGGAAACAAAGACCCAACACAGCCAAAAATAAATTAATTAATTTAAAAAAAAAAAAAGGTCTTATTCCCAATAAATGGCATAGACTTGCTGTGTCTCTTGCGAGAGAAAAAATATTTCTGCCTCATTTGTGTCTGGACAGATAATGCACTTTGGCCAGAAATATGGTTGGTAGTGATGCACACTACATGTAAGCAGAAGTTTTCAAAGGCATTACATATTTCCACTGAACTCTCCTACGTTTTACCTCTGCCACAAAAAAGCTATGCCCCAAATAGGTTCTACTTTAATTGAGGTTCTGGAACTATTTGACATGTGAAAGCACAGCCAGGTGATACATAATTTTCTAATTAATCTTTCACTGAAAGAAATAAGAAATTGAATTGAATTGCAAATCAATTGAAATAAGAATTAAAGTAAGAAGTCTTAGCAAGGACACTATTGAGCTGAGTGACCACAGTAGGCTTCTTATTCATTGCCTCAATTCCTTGATAAATAGCCAGATTATTGTAAAGATTCCTTTCAGTACCAAAGATTTTTTTATTCAAAAGCCTAGAAGTAATTGAAGCAAGAATGAGATATCCCACATGACAAAAGTAAAAAGCCTAAACAAAATGAGTACACCAGTAAAAGACTAAAGGAAATGGAAACAGAGGATTGTAATAAAAGAATATTTTTAAGAGTCAACTCCTAGTGGCTTTTTAATTCAGTTAGTTTTAACATTCTAAATATTATTGAACCATGCACCATGTGAAAAACTCAAATTCCGATGACGTTCCATCAAAATGGTTCCAAAGGCATCAGACTGGTGTAGATTCCAGTCCTGACCAGTCAATGGCATTCAACGAGTCACTTAACATCTGAGCTTCTGTATTGTCAGTGAAGTTGAAATAATAATACATACCTCAATGGGTTTTATAGAGATTTAAATATGGAAATGTATTTACAACACCCTGGCATTGTCATTTGTAAATGCTCAGAAAGGAGCTAACTATACTTGTTATTACATCTGGTACCAAATTATATATTGTATATATTTAAGAAACTAACAGGAAAATTGCTATATAAAAAAATGGCAATAATATATAATGATGGGGTCTATTAACCTAATGAGCATTTATTAAGGGACCTTAAATTTCATACTGAAAGATCAATTAAGCTAACCAAATGACTTTATAAGTGAAACCATCATTTTATTAAAGAGTCTATTAAAAGCATATAATAAAAAGATGTTTCTTTTTTCAAAAACTGAAAGGTGTACTTACCTCTAGGCCGATTCGTAGCCACAAAGGATTATATGACAACAGCCAATTCAAGACTTTCTGCCGTTCTCCTGAAATACATGTGAAAAGCAAGTAAGGTCAGATCACTAATCAAATAGAGACAGTAAATAAAATTTCATAGAGAGAAATCAGTGGCCAAAGTGGAAAATCACATACATGAAATAAGTTAAAGTATACTTCCACTCTTTAATATATGTACATGATCACATTTAAGTTTGTGAAATTTTAGGCCACAAAGTGAAACCATGTACATATATTTGACTCTGAAATAAAAAATTTCTAGAGTGTTTTTAAACAATTAATCCCAAGATTTCTATAATCTTCTTACCCACATCTTTCCAGAGGTGTCTGTCTTTTCGAACAATTAACCGCCTAGCTTCAATTTCAATTTCAAGCTTTTTCATAGCTTTAACCATTTTTTCAGAAGTAAATAAGCAACATGCAGCACGACGTAATCTATTCAAACTGCAGCGAGCGGTATAAGCTCTGAGAGACACTTCATCCTTGGTAGGAGCTCTAGGGACACTTATTTTATGTTGACTCTCCAGTCCCAAAAGAAGAGTGGAAGCATTTACTGGGTAAAAACGAAAGAAAGAACGTTTCTGGTTAAACAATATTTATACACATTTTAAAACCCAGCAATAAATGCAATTGAAGATGGCCAAGACAGAACCTATTCCCCGCCCCTTCCAGCCTGCTTCTTCTCTTTCTCACCTCAAAATAAAGGTGTCGCCATTCACTCAGAACCTTAGGCCATCCTATCATTGCAACATCTTGGCTCTGCCTTCAAACTGTACCCCAAGTCTAACCATTTCTCACAACCACTATTGTCCAGGTTCCAACATGATCACCTCTAACCCAGACTAATGGGAGAGCCTCCCTGACTGGTTTCGCTGCTTCCACCCTCTTTATAAATTAGAAGGCTAAGCTGCTAAAGAGTGTGATTTGTTAAAATCAGTTAAATTTTGAAATGCAATTTGAATTTTTAAAAAACACATTTTCTCTCAAAAAGAGAACTAAAAATCATGCTTTGTTTACTTTTGGAAAATAAAGAAAAGTACCTCAGAGATCATCTAATCAAAGGGCCTTTTAATGTAAAATTCCCATACACACTTCTCTGACACTTACAGACCAGTGTCTGCTGGAACACTGCAGCAATGGAGAAAGCATCTCCCTAAAGTCAGCCTGGGTGTTGCTTTGGCAAGTTAAATATTTTAAAGGGTTTTTCCTTATCTTGAGTAGAACTGATCCCTATACCAACTTCCATGGGAGAGCAGCCCAAGTGAAGCTTCCTTCTCTCAGGAGAAAACTTTAAATATTTGAAGGATACCATGTTTCCATCCTGTTCTATACTTGAGTTTTTCTCTTTTCCAGAACAAACACTGAAATATTTTTAAAATCCCCCATATCAACTGGTTTTCAGAGCCCTCATAATTATACACTTGTCTACAAACTTCTTAAACTAAGGTACAGTGGGGACAACATCCTTAATGAGGCCACACAAGACTTAAATTGATTCACCAGGACATTACACTTTATTAATGCAGCTGAGACTGAACTGGATTTCTAGACAGCCATGTGTCACTGTTGGTGCTGACTGAATCTATACTAAAGTAAAACCATTCACTGCAAAGGCTAGAAATCGAACTGGCTGAGGAGCAGGAAGATAAAGCAAAAAGAAAAAGTAAAGTTTGGAACTTTCAGCACAAAATTCTCACGCGCACAATCTTGAGCATTTGTGTTAATGATCTAGCGAGCCATGCCATTAACTACAATATAATAAACATGTATAACTAAAGAATGAAAAATCACGTTAAAAAACTACCTGTTAAGGGGCTTCTCTGGTGGCGTGGTGGTTATGAATCCGCCTGCCGATGCAGGGGACACGGGTTTGAGCCCTGGTCCGGGAAGATCCCACATGCCGCAGAGCAACTAAGCCCGTGGGCCACAACTACTGAGCCTGCACTCTAGAGCCCACGAGCCACAACTACTGAGCCCACGCGCCTAGAGCCCACGCACTGCAACGAAGAATAGCCTCCGCTCGCCATAACTAGAGAAAGCCCGTACGCAGCAACAAAGACCCAACGCGGCCAAAAATAAATATAAAATAAATTTTAAAAAAATAAAAAAATATTTTAAAAAACTACCTGTTAAAACAAAAATATTATTTAATTTAAACATTAACTAAATGTTTACCTTCAGAAATATTTGTTTTTACAGTGAAGTCATCAGGAGTTAATATAAAATTTAGCCACCAAGTAAAGCCCTGTTCCTGCTTTTCCTTCCAGCGTTCATCATAAAACATGTTTTTTGCAGCAAACGGCATTGGGTGTCTAGGAATACCTAAGAATACAATTAGGTTATGGCATAAGAAATTTTCCTTTAAATTATTATACAATCTATAGCAAAAGACCATTTTTACCAGCAAAACCACCTTTAAAACACTGAACAATGTTTGCTTTTTCACTACTTGCTAGAAATAGTTGAAAGCATTTTGGGTATAAAATGTAGTCAAAGTAAAAGAGAAAAAGTATGGCAGTACCTCCTGGTTTTTTAAAAATCCCAAGTAAAGTGAGTCAATTTCATTGAACTCTGAGAATATATCCTGTTATTTGAATACACACTTTAACAATTCTTCAAAGCCTTTATTTAACAAAAAAGTATCAATTCATTTCCATTTGAAATGCAATTAATGCTTCATTCCATGTCAGTTTTTCATAGACTTTAAAGATATTAAACACTTGCCTGTTTTTAGTGGTTTTATGAAGGTCAAATTAGATTGTGCAACAGGAACAATGGGTTTTGTCTTTTTGTTTGTTTTAAAATTAGGAGTTCTGTGTCCTAAAGAATCTAAAATATATGAGAAAACAATAGCATTAAAAAAATGAAATAAATCCTGTGAATGAACTGCTGTCAAGTTAAGATTTGGGCTCTCCAAAATCATATCCGTTTAGAAAATGCTGAATAAACACTATGTGCCAAGGTATGAACTCGGGTAATAAAACTTATGTCTGGAAGTTACAGACCAGAAACTACAATATATTCTGTGTCTACAGAAGCTAGGGTTCAGAGTCAACCAGTTCACTGTGTGTGTATATACAGCAGACTCCGTGCTAGGTGCTGAGAACGCAGAATGGAAAGATGTGGTCTCGGCCCTCAGGAAGTTCTCGGTCGAGTACAGAAGTGTAGAAAGAATCACAATACACTATGGAAGAAGTACACATGAGGAGTCATGGGACAAGGGGAGGGAGAGCTAAGTCACCTAAACAGCAGGACAGCCTCCTAGCAGGGGTGACCCTGAGCTGACCCTGCAGTGGACGTAACACACAAGGAATGGGGGGCCTTTCGCTGAACTGCAAAGTGCCCAGAGCCAAGAATACAGATAAGAAAAACAAGACAAAAAAAAAGAGGTTGAAAGAGAAAGAAAAGAAGTCCATACTATTAAAAATAACAGTGACAGCTAATAGTCGAATACTTTGTGCCAGGCACTATCAGAGTCTTGTAATTTAGGTTACCTCATGCAATCATCACCAGAAACCTATGAGAAGTGCACTTTTATTCTCTACATTTTACGGAATCAGGATACTGGAGCTTAGAGCAACTAAGCCACTTGGTCAAAGTCATGCATGCTAGTAGGTGGCACAGCTGGACAGTATAGCTCCAGAGCCTGCACTATTATTCAGTTAGAAGTACCTGGTGGGCCAGTGAAGGATTAAAGTCCAGGCAGTTACACCATCATATATATTTCAGAAGACAGAATGGACAATGGACTGAAAGGAGTCAAGAGTAGAGATGGAAGCCAAAAGGAAGCTATCCCAGGGGCCTATGTTAGCTATGATGAGAACTTAAAGGAACACAGAAGCAGTGGAGACAGATTAGAGAAGAGTTGTTTTCACAGCAGAACTAACAAGGCTTAATGTCAACTGACTAGGCAAGTGATGGAGAATGAGAGCCCCGATGGGTCCCCGTGCCTCACCCCGGTGATGAGGGAGACAATGGGTGGTCCCTACAAGTAACCTGTATGAACGCAGTTCACTCCCTCAAAGGCAGGTTTCACACCAGCTCGCACTGCTGCTCAATACAAACAAGAAGCCAATAAAGGCAGAGGAGGGAAAGCTAAGGCCCAGGGCAGAATCCAGCCCATGGCTGTTTGTATACAGTCTGCAAGCTAAGAAGAATTTTCACATTTATAAATACTAGTTGAAAAAAAAAAACAAACCCTCCAAACAATTATATTTCATGACACATGAAGATGATATGAAATAGTCACACCTGTTCATTTACACATTGTCCATGGCTGTTTTCCCTTCCACAATGGCAGAGCTCAGCAGCTGTAACAGAGATCATATGTCCTGCAAAACCTAAATATTTACTATCTGGACCTTTAGAGAAAAAGTTTGCTCAGCTTTGATTTAGAAGAATTGCAAATCTACTCCAACTGTCAAAATAAGGAGTATGACCAAATTGTTACATAATAGTTATTAGGTTATAAGGGTCTTTGCATTGTAACATATTTAAAAATAAAAATATGAGCAAAAGTTCCTCATTCTGAAGGCTTGCAAAAGCTGGCCCCTCCGCCTAGAACCATTTTATTCTGTGGGAACATTCTTTGGACAGGTCTCACAGCTTCTTGTCAGTCACGTAACGCCAAGTAAAGTGCCCCCACTTCTGTGCTTTCGTGATTCCCTGTGCATAGCTCAAAGGACTGGGAACAACTTGAGAACAGGAATGATACCTTTTCTCCTTCTATCCACAGAGCCTAGAACTATGCGTAGGACATAGCAGGTACCTTATCAAGGTTGAACAAATGCATCTTGAAAAACTGACTTCTTTTTCTGCTCTCCTGGGTTTGTCAGAATAGAAAGAAGGCAGACACTCTTAGTGAGTTACCATGCTCATAAATCAGATATCCAGTGTGTGCAATTCTCTTTAAACCTTGCAAAGAGGCTCAACTCAGCTAGGCGGTCACCTCAAACAAACTGCAGGTTCAAGTGTCAACATATCAGTGGTTTATTTGCTCATTCATTCATTTACTGTGTCATTCATTCATCATTTAGTGTACACCTTGTAGGAGGTCAAGACAGATATGCTCCTTACATTCAAAGAATTTGTTATCTGGTCAGAATATTTCTATAGGAAATAAAATGATGCGAGCAAAGAAATGGAGTCAACAGGTAGATACGAGATGTCTCATATGCTGCATTCAAATTTGCTAAGGGAATATACATAGAGGAAAAAGTCATCAGGGAATAAAGTACTAGAAATCAGTGAAAGATTTGAGTTAGTGAGAAAACAACATATATGAAAGTTAATAAGAGGATACATGGTCAGGAACAAGATAAGGATGCCCACTCTCATTACTTTTATTCAACATAATCTTGAAAATCTTAGCCACAACAATTAGGCAAGAAAAAGAAAGAAAAGCCATCCAAATTGGAAAGTAAGAAGTAAAAATGTCAGTATGTGCAAATGACATGATACTATATATAGCAAACCCTAAAGACACCACCAAAATACTGCTAGAACTAATAAACAAATTCAATGAAGTTGCAGGATATAAAATCAATGTACAAAAGTCTGCTGCATTTCTGTACACTAATAACAAACTATTGGAAAGATTCTTACCACATCAAAAAGACTAAAATACATAGGAATAAATTTAACCAAGGAGGTGACAGGCTTGTACACTGAAAACTATAGAACATTGTTGAAAGAAATTGAAGAAGACACAAATAACTGGAAAGATATTCCTATGTTCATGGATTTGAAGAATTAACATTGTTCAAATGACTATACTACCCGAAATCTACAGATTCAATGCAATCCCTATCAAAATTCCAATGGCATTTTTCACAGAATGAAAACAAACAATCCTAAAATTTGTATGGAACCATCACGAAAGACCCCAAATAGCCAGAGCAATCTTGAGAAAGAAGAAAGCTGGAGGCATCATGCTCCCTGATTTCAAACTAGATTCAAAAGCTACAGTAATCAAAACAGTATGATATTGGCATAAAAACAGACATACAGATCAGTGGAACAGCATAGAGCCCAGAAAAAAACCCATGCACACATAGCCAATTAATTAATGACAAAGGAGCCAAGAATATACAATGGGGAAAGAAGAGTCTCTTCAATAAATGGTGTTGGGAAAATTGAACGGCCACATGCAAAAATATGAAACTAGACCACTATCTTATATCATACACACAAAAAATAACTCAAAATGGATTAAAGACTTAAATGCAAGACCTGAAGCCATAAAACTCTTAGAAGAAAACATAGGGGGTAAGATCCCTGACATCAGTCTTGGCAATGATTTTTTTGATCCCACACCAAAAGCAAAGGCAACAACAGTAAAAATAAACAAGTGGGACTACATCAAACTAAAAAGCTTCTGCACCAGCAAAGGAAATCACCAACCAAATGAAAAGGCAGCCTACTGAATGGGAGAAAATATTTGTAAATCATATATCTGATAAGGGGTTAATATCCAAAATATATAAAGAACCCATACAATTCAACAGCAAAAAACAAACCATCTAATTAAAAGATGGACAGAAGAGCTGAATAGACATTTTTCCAAAGAAAACATACAGATGGCTAACAGATACATGAAAACATGCTTACATCACTAACCATCAGGGAAAGGCAAATCAAAAGCACATTGAGCAAATCACCTCACAGCTGTTCGGTGGCTGTTATTAAAAAGAGAACAAATAACAAGTTTGGAAGGGTGTGGAGAAAAGGGAACCCTTGTTGGTGCAGCCACTATGGAAAACATTATGGAGATTTATCAAAAACTTTAAAACAGAACTACCAAATGATCCAGTACTTCCACTCCTGGGTACTTTCTGAAGAAATGAAAACACTACCTTGGAAAGACACATGTTCACAGCAGCATCATTTACAACAGCCAAGGTGAAAACAACCTAAGTGGTCATAGATGTTGTATTACATATGCCATGAGATGTTAATCAGCCATAAGAAAGAATGAAATCTTGCCATTTTCAACAACATGGATGGATCCTGAGGGCATTATGCTGACTGAAATAAGTCAGAGAAAGACAAATACCATATGATCTCACTTACATGTGGCATCTGATGGAAACACAAAAACAAAAAACAAACTCACAGGGCTTCCCTGGTGGCGCAGTGGTTGAGAATCTGCCTGCCAATGCAGGGACACGGGTTCGAGCCCTGGTCTGGGAAGGTCCCACATGCCGTGGAGCAGCTAGGCCCGTGAGCCACACTGCTGAGCCCGCGCGTCTGGAGCCTGTGCTCCGCAACAAGAGAGGCCGCAACAGTGAGAGGCTGCGCACCGCGATGAAGAGTAACCCCCGCTCGCCGCAGCTAGAGAAAGCCCTCGCACAGAAACGAAGACCCAACACAGCCAAAAATAAATAAATAAAATTTTTAAAAAAGAAAATAAACTTGTTTTAAAAAGAAAAAAAAAAAACAGATACAGAGAACAGATTGGTGGTTGCCAGAGATGGGGCTGGGGATGGTGGTGAAATGGGTGAGGGGGTCAAAAGTTACAAACTTCCAGTTATAAAGTAAGTCCTGGGGGTGTGATGTCCAGTGGGGCGGCTGGACAAGACTGCGCTGTGTATTTGAAAGTTGTCGTGAGAGCAAATCTGAAAAGCTCCCACATAATAAGAAACAATTTTCTATTATAATTATGTATGCTGAGAGATGTTAAGCACAACAACAAAAGAGGATACCTGGACGGAATGGCAAGAGTAGCGTGGCTAGAATGTGTTGTTGAATAGTAAGACAGCAGGCTGGATAAGGGGAGGTCACATGAAGAGAATCTTAAATGACAGAATAAGGAGCTTGGAAATCATCTGGTGACAGCAGAGGGCCACTGAAGGTTCTGAGACAGGAAGCAGGTAAAGCCACGTACTGGACACCAAGTGCCTCGAGCTAACGGGCACATCACAAGTTTGAGGTTGGTGGATCTCCAAAACTGTCATCCTTGGTCAGTGCCCAAAATAAAAACCTCATGTCTACCCGCTCTCTCTCTTTCTCAAATCACAGTAGGATAGAAAGATGTGGTAGAACACGTACGTTGTAGACAGGGAGACGTGAGTTTAAACCGTGGCTCTATTGTAGGAGATTTTGTGACCTTGGGCAAGTTACTGGCCCTTTTGAGGCTGATATAAGGGACTTAGAGAAGGAAGTCATTCTATACAGAGGGGACAATTAACAGCAAATACCCTGAGGGAAGAGAATGTTGAAGGGTCAAGGATAACAAGGAAGCCAGGGTGACAGAAGCAAGAAGGACAGAGAGGAATGACGGAGGTTGGGAGGAGATTGGGGCAACACAGACCTTACAGGGCCTTGTGCATCATCATTGTAAGAACTTGGCTTCCAGTGAGATGAAAGGTCATCAGGGGCATAGTAACGGACAACGTTAGAATCCACTTAACAAATATTTGAAAAGTATCGCCCTGGTTGCTAAGTGGAAAATAGACTCCAGAGAAGGCAAGGGTGAAAGCAAGATCTGTTAGGGGGCTTGCAGTGTCACAGATAGGCTTGGATGGTGCCAACAGAAATGGTGAGAAGTGATCCAATCCTGAATGTATTGATACTTGGAAGGAAGAGAAGATAGGATTTGCTGATGGACTGAATTTGGAATCAGGCAGACTGTGTGCATTTATAGAGAAAGGGTAGGAGAGAAACACACTTAGGGACAATCCCAAGGTTTGGGGCCTGTAATGAGAAGAGGTCATAACAGAAGTGCTGTGTTGGGAGTGATACACCAGGTACACGTGTCACGGGAGTGGGGATAGCAAAGGGCTGGTTTTGGACAAATTAAAGATGCTCATGTGGCAGTCAAGTAGAAATATTAGATGTTGGATAAATGAGTCTACAGATTAGAGGTCCATCCCAAAGATATAAAATTGTGAGGCCTCCATGTACAGATAGTATTGAAAGCTGTGAGATGGCCTGAGATTGTTAAGGGATTGAGCGAAAGTATGAACAAGGGTCAGTGACTAAGTCTTCGTGTACTCCAGGGTTGAGAGGCTGGAGAGACACAGTGCTCCAAAGAGAAACCTGAGAAGCAGCCAGTGCCTGGGAAAAGAACCAGGAGAGAGTGCGGATGGCAGGATAAAGCATTTCGAGAAGAAGGAGATTCAAAGCATCCGTCTGCTAACAGTTCAAGATGAAGACTGAGAAATAACCACCGGACTCAAAGTGTGGATGTGTTCATGACCTTGACAGGAAAAGTTTTAGTAGAGTCGTCAAAATCTGGTTGAAGTGGTTTCAGCAAATAGGAGAGGAATGGGAAACAGCTAACAGAAGCAACCTTCAAAGTGATTTTTTTTACATTAGAAAGCACCTTTTAATTCAAGCACAATGTTTACCCGGAAAGGTATACAGAACTCAGTGAACTATCACAAAGTGAATACCTAGGTTCTTTCAAAGAGTTTTGCTTAAAAGAAAGCAGAAGAAAGGAGCAGGGCCTGAACGAGTAAGTGGTATCAGTAAAAAGTCTTTGTTTCTTTAGGAGTTGGAGGTAAGAATGGCACATTTGTGTGTCAATCAGAAATGACCCAGTAGGGAGTAAAACACTGGAGATGTGGGAGAGAGAAGGCAGCTGCTAAAGCAACGTCCGTGTAGAGGGCGTTGGCTTTTGGTGCCGGTAGAGCCCGGCCTCACTGGGCATGCAGATCTTTCAGGCTGTAATAGGAGGGAAGGGAGCCGTGGATGTAAAGACAGTCGGGTGGTGGATGCTGCGGAAGTTTCCCTCAGTGAGGCAGGAAGCAGGTTGGGGAAGGAGCAGAGCGCCAGCTCCAGAGCCCTCCTGACCAGGTGGTACCCCAGCCCGACCACTTACTACCCGTGACCTTAGGCAAATTACTCAGCTTCTGGATGCGTACATTCCCTCATCTTAAACATGTATTCATGACAACATCTACTCAGTATGATTGCTGTAGGTAGGTATGAGAAGAGGTAATAGCAAAGCACTTACAACCGGGGCCATGGAGAACGCAGTCAGTAACTGTTCACTGCTGTTATCCATCCTGAACAGAGGAAGGGGGTGCTCGAGAAGAAGGGAGGGATGAGATAGGCTGCAGCAAAATGATAAAGTCAATAAGCCAGGAAGATAGAGCCAAGAGGAGCTACGGGCTTCACAGCGGTTAGTGGTCAGGAATTTAAAGACCAATCAGCAAGGTTCAGGCACAGAGCAGGCAGACTTGGGCTGGGATTGGAATTTGCCAGACAAGCACAATGAACGTAAGAGAGGTGAACAAAGGGATTATGAGGAACTGTGGAATCCAAGCTGAATAAGTAAGAAAGTGAGGATATAATGAGGTGAGGGCTGGGGAAATGGGGCTGGATTAGTTGGGTTCTAGAGAAAATGCTGAGATCATAGTGAGAGAGACACCTTTAGGACAGTGTGGCCTAAGTAGGCTGGAACTAACACGCCAGGATATTGGAAGGCTCTTCTACAAGGATCTTGAAATCATAAAGAATCATCCTAAAGTAGTAGTTTTGGAGAAGGTCTCGTGAGCCAAATGTAAAAATCTGGAGTTATCTCTCACTGTAACAAGAACTGTGGGTGGGATAGTATGAAAAACAAACTTCAAGCTGTTTGTTGCTGTTTGCTTTCTTTTCGTTTGTTTTTAAGGAAGAAAGGAGAAGCAATAGTCTGGAAGCAGATATGAGACGGTGGGTGGTCGGTCCATTGTCCCACCGAGATACTCAAGGCCAGAGTAGCAGGAGAGAAGACAGCCAGTGCTGGAGAGCGTTGCATGAGAGCAGTGTTCTCGGGGGAGGGCCAGGCTCAGCGTGGGAACAGGAGGGAGTATCCAGAAGACAGGTGCTAAGGAAGGGCAGTGAGTCCACAGGGCACAGACCCTGTAAAGAGCTGCGGAGGAGTGGAAGATGGTCCCAGTTAGGCGGTGTGCAAAGAAAAATGAGATAAAATACAGAGGGGGATATTTCCTAAGAGTCCTAGAGCTCTTTTAAATTACCTGTTAAATAACCTGTGTGGTTTGTTTTCCTGTGGGGACCTTGATTGGTGTCTGAGGGAACTGGGGTTAAAAGGTCATGATGGGATTGGTCCTAACAGTTTTCAAGGCAGACAGCGGTAGTATGGCTGTGAGTGCTATAGGGAAGGAACGGTGGTGAGGTTTTCCCCAAAGGAATGAGGAGCTCAGGTGCCCTGTCTTCATTCCTAAATAACGGCCAAGTAAAGGCTGAGCAGAATGATGTCCCCGGAGCACAGGGAGTGTAAAGGCCTCCTCTGCATTCCCCCAGGTGGTGTGATGGGGCCAGGCATTCACTGGGTCCTCCCATCAGGGCCTGGACTAAGGTGAGGCACGTCAAGTACAACACTTGAGGCGGGGGCCAAAAAACTCAGTCATCAAGTATTTTAATGCAATATTTTTTAAAAATCAAAATTAATGCAGAAAAATCACAATGAACACAACGTTAAAAGTTTAAAAAAGAACGAGATCACAGTGATTGCAGAATTCAGCCCTGCGCTACGTTTGCTCCATCTTCCACTAAGCAAATTGGTAAATGAAAAAAAGTACAAGTAAATTCAAGCTTATCGATAGCAATTTACTAAACCAAAAGAAACAGAAAATATGCCCTGCATAGCTATACGTTCATTAAAGATTTTATTAACAAGACTCACCAGTTTTCTTCTTCAGCTTTAATTTCTCTCTGTTGCTAATACATTTCGAGGTGGAGGTTATCACTTTCTTTGTGCTTTTAACAGTTGATGTTTTGGACTCCACAGGAGAATAATGGATCCTTTTGATTTCTTGTACTTCTGTGTATTCTGTAACTGTAACCTTCAAATTTGCATCTTCTGTGTTTCCCTCACTCTTTCTTTTACGAGCAACTAAAGCTACCTTTGAGGGAGGAGTTATCACATTTTTACGACTCTTAGGTCTACTCAGTATTAAATCTCTAGCTGGAAGAAAAGAATGAAAATCACCTTTCTCTTTGTGATCATCTGTTTCTTTTTCACACTCACCCACTACAACACTGAGACATCTTTTTGCCTTCGGTTTATTAGCCTCCGTTTGGTTTTCTCTGGCACAAGTGGGCTTTCTTTTAGTAACAGTGGCAGAAAGTATTGGGCGTCTCTTAAGAGGTTTATCGTGGCTGTGACTAGAAATATCCTGAACTGCAGAAAATTTAGGCTGGTTCCGTTTCTTAAAAGTATAACAATTTGACTTCATTTCTAAAGCTTTGGATTCTTCAAAAGTAGCTTTTGGAGATTTTGAACCCTGACATTCAGGAATACAAGGTAAAACTACATTTTTTCTCTCATCCTGAGAAGGTTGTGAAGCCTGAGAATTTACATTTGATAATGGTGACAATTTACATGTTTGCTGAGGTACACATATGTATGCCATATTATCTTTTAAAAATTGATTTGGGGATAGAATTGGATTAATTGACTCTGATTCTAGATCCTGATTTAGTCCATAATTATCATTTATGAAAGAATCTGGACTTAAAATTGTCCGATAAATTTCACATACACTTTTTGACTCCAAAATCACAGGCCTTGAATTACCTTTCACACACATACCTGGTGAAAGACACATCACTAATTCTCGTTCATTATTAGCTGCACGGCTATTATTCACAAAGGAATCCGGACTTAGAAAATTTCCTTGGCTTTGTGTGATGTTCAACGTTGAAGAATAGTTTGGGGTAAGAGTAAGTTTACTGTTCTCTTCAATTTGGCCATTAAGATTATTTATGGAGTCAAAAGAAGTTTCAGTTATGACTGTCTCATTAAAATGAAAATCTTTTACAATGTTGGCACCTTCTACTTTTAATAGTTCCCCATTTTCAGATGCAGGAAGGGATGTGTAGGTAGTAGACTGATGGACAGAAACTGGCAACCAGGTCTCCCCATGGCACTCTTGGAAAGTGGGACTGATAGGTGATATGGGTATTTTATTTTCTTCAAGTATTAAAGAATTGTTTTCTGTTGGGGAACAGCTTTTGTTCGTAGCCAGATTCTCACGTGCTTGTAGTGGGCTCCTAACTCTGTCAAATTTTGAGGAAACATTAAATGTTTTATTTACATTTTGAATATTTGAAATCTTCTGGTTATGACCTGAAGAGGCTGATACTTTCTTTTTATTAATGGTATCCCAAAGACTCCTCTGCAAAAATAAGCAAAATATACAGATTAAGTTGATAACTATTGAATAGTACATTTAAGCAAAAAAAAAGACTGTTGACAAAATAATTTTTACATATTATTATTTTCCTAGAGTAAATTACAGAATGATGAAAACTTAGTACCTTTTTCTTTTTCGGCTCTTCTGCATTTCCTAGTAATATAGCTTGGTGTTTCAGAACATCATTTACAAGAAATGTCACGATCTCTCTTACTCGGCCTCCTTTTAACGGTGTCCAGGTAATAGAAATAACAATTTTTTCTTTAGGCTATAATCAAAAGGATACATTTTCAATGACTATAACAGTAGTGATGTATAATAACCAAAATATATTATATGCAACTTAGAATACAGTAGACGATTAATAATTGTTACTCACCAACACTCTATACCCTAGCAACATTTAGAAATCAAATATATTTTCCTACCCTATCTCATTTCATTATAAGGAAAAAAGTTACTAGCAATAACAAGGTTCACAACAAAATGAAATTATAATAATCACTCAGTGGTTTTTAAAAATTTAATCACATATTTCCACTTCTTTAGAATATGTACAGAACCTCTATTTCAAATATAATGACCTTACATTAGAAAGAATTTTTCAAAAAGAAATGTAAAGATGATCAGCTAAATTCCTTGCTCTCTACTTCTCTAAAGTCCATATTATCATTATTGATATTTGTTAAATACTTACTTCGTTCCAGGCATAGTTTCAGGCATCTAATATAACTAGTCAAATCCTCACATCCCTAGGAAGCAGATACTGTGATGATGTACGTTTTACAGATGAAGTAATCAAGGTCCAGAAAGCTTTAAGTATTTTGCCAAAGTCATACCGCTAGTAATTAGAACCCAGGCAGTCTGAGTCCAGAGTTTAAACCTTAACATCTACACCCTACAGCCTGGCAGGAATTTGCCAAATGCAAAACCCTCACATGACAAAACAAACTCTGTCTTTGTTGTTTTTCAGGGGAAAAAAAAGACAAGTTTTGTTTGTTTTTATGTATGTATGCATGTATTTAGACAAATTAAAATAGAAGTTTTACTGCAGAAGTTGTATTACGGTAATGCCGGAAGGGAGAAGAGATGGTAGATCAACTACCAACATTAGGACCCACGATCACACAACCCGACAGACAAGAAATGGTAGAGCTGAACTGGTATCAGCCTCACAGAGGAGGTCAGACCTTTACAGCTTTTCCCCTGGACAGAAAAAGCAATTCTTCTGTCCTCTTCACAGTACCTGGGCTTCTTAGAACTCATACTCCTAGAGTTTAGTTATATAGGTGCCTGTTTTTAGTACCAAGCTCGCCTGCCATATAATAAAAGTCCTTACTTTGATATCTGTCTTTTATTCCCTTCCCTATGCTTGGTCATGGGCCCAGTAGAAGCATACTCCAGTTTCACGATACTGAATGAATATCTTTGGATCTTTCTTGTTGAATCATGCTAACTCAGTTAAGTGACCAGCTACAGCAAAAACAACAAGAATAAAATCATAAGAAAAACTCTGGTGAAGGCTAGCCTCCCCCTTGTCTGGCCTTGCAGAATTCCTGAGCTTCTCAACAGCCTAGTATCCATAATTAGGTGAGTGGCCGAGACTCACTTTCAGAGTTTTGAAGGCCTCAGTAGGTGGATAAACTGGAAAGATCTCAGGCCCAGAGACCACACACACCATCTTCAACCCACCTGTTGTTATCCTATGTCAGATCAGACTCACACAAAAGGAATGGGGATTATAAGCAAAGGTTAGGGTTGGAAGATCCCCCGAATTTAGAGCTTAAATGGGCTTTGTCTCATTTCACTAAATTTCAACTCATCACTTTGTTAAATTAATGTTTAACAGCATATCTGTGGTAGGCTAGATTATTTTGGTTCCAGGCTAGGATGTTTCTGGTTCTGTGATATGTGCTCCCCATATAGAAATCATTAGGTCAGTGAATGTTCTTTCATTTTTTGTCATATACAGACATACCTTGTTTTATTTTTCTTTATTTCGCTTCATAGATACTGCATTTTTTTTTTTTTAACAAATTGAAGGTTTGTGGCAACCCTTCATCGAGCAAGTCTATTGGTGCCGTTTTCCCCACAGCATTTGCTCACTTTGTGTCTCTGTGTCACATTTTGGTAATTCTTGCAATATTTCAAACTTTTTCATTATAATATTTGTTCTGGTGCTCTGTGATCTTTGATGTTAGTATTGTAATCGTTTGGGGTCCAGGAACTGAGCCCATAGAAGACAGCAGCCTTCACTGAGAAATGCTGTGTGTGTTCTGACTGCTCCACTGACCAGCTGTTCCCCAGTGTCTCTCCCTCTCCCTGGGCCTCCCTGTTCCCTGGTTCCCTGAGACACAACAACATTGAAATTAGGCCAATTAACAACCCTTTGAAGGTCTCTAAGTGTTCAAGTGAAAGAAAGAGTCGCATGTTTCTCACTTTGAATCAAAAGCTAGAGATGATTAAGCTGAGTGAGGGAGGCATGTTGGAAGCGTGGACAGGAGGAAAGTTAGGCCTCCTGCGTCCAGCTGTGAATGAAAAGGAAACATTCTTAAAGGTGATGACCTATTTAAGACCATTTAAAACTCAAAATGCAGCAACTGTTGTTCAGGCATCCAAAATGGAACCTGGTGGCCATCGTGGATGTGGTTTTAGACACATTCCTGCATCAGTAAGAACCTGAATTTTCTGAACGGTATCAGACTCAAGGATACTGAGGTAGGAGATAGATGGGCCCTTGGGCTGGACAGCTGGTGTTTGTCAAGCAGAGGAAAATCTGTTCTCCCTGGACACTCCAAGGACAAAGTTAATGGTAGGAGCTGAACTCTGCTGGAGTAATGAGATAAGATGACCACTCCTGACTCCTTGGGGGTCAAAAAGGAGGGGGCACCACCCCATAATAGGTGATGCCAAGCCTCTCACAGCCCCTGTGATGGAACCCATCTTGGAAAAAGATGCACACGCATGTTGGGGAGGGTCCTAGAACAGGTCATTTGTGGGAAAAGAAGTGAGATAATTGGCCAAAGGTGAACAAAGACCCGGAAGGACTGTCCTATATAAAGGGTTTCAATCGCCTCTTCACTGCACTCCTCTTCATTAGGAAGGACACCCACACCCTTTCTCCCCAGGTGTGTATTTCTGCCTTGCTTCAGTCTTAAATAAACAAACTGCTTCTCTGTGTGCCCTCCCACTTGTTGCGCTGTGTCTCTAATAATAAACTTTGTACCTGTTTTTACAGTTTTTGCCTCCTTGAAACATTCTCGCTTTCAAACGGGGGTAAGAGCCAGGGCCACTTTGCTTCTAGCCTCTGGCCCCTGGTGGTCTGGCAGCTAGGATTCCTGGTTTTCATCCAGGTTACCCAGGTTCAATTCCTGGGCAGGGAACTGAGATCTCGCTTCAAGCCACGGCTCACTTCTGTCTCTCTGAAATCACTACTACCAGCCGTTCTCAAAACAGTATCTGCTAGAACTGCCAGCTGCAACATTATGGTCTCAAGGCCTCCCCTTGTAACTCTGCAACCCTTTTGGACCCCAACCAATCCTGGCTTAACAAGCACCCTTACTTCTTGCCAGCTCCAATCCTAATCCTTGATGAACAATTTATGTCATCTTCCTGTTTTTTGCCTTAATAAGCTTTCCTCAGTTTGTAGTCTGATGGAACACAGTTCAAGTAATTTTTGGATCTGTGTCTCCTGGGCTGGAGTCCTAACAAACCCAAATAAACACCTCTTTATTTCAATCAGTTCTTGGAATTCTTGGTTAACAAAGGAAATTAAAAGTGCTACTCCAGTGAACACAAGAATGATAAGAAAGCAAAACAGCCTTATTGCTGACATGGAGAAAGTATTAATGGTCCGGATAGAAGATCACACCAGCCACAACATTCCCTTAAGCCAAAGCCTCATCCAGAGTTAAGATCCTAACTCTCTGCAATTCTATGAAGGCTGAGAGAATTAAAGAAACTGTAGAAGAGTTTGAAGCTGGCAGAGCTTGGTTCATGAGGTTTAAGGAAAGAAGTCATCTTCACAACATTAAAAGTGCAAGGTGAAGCACTAAGTGCTGATGCAGAAGCTGCAGCAAGTTATCCGGGAGATCTCCTAAGATAATTAATGAAGGTGATTGCACTAAACAACAGGTTTTCAGTGTAGAGGAAACAGCCTTCTACAGAATGAAGATGCAATCTAGGACTTTCATAGCTGGAGAGGAGAAGTCAATGCCTGGCTTCAAATGACAGGCTGACTCTCTCCTTAGGGACTAATGCAACTGGTGACTTCAAGTTGAAGCTAATGCTCGCTTACTATTCTGAAAGTCCTACGGCCCTTAAGAATTATGCTGAATCTACTCTGCCTGTGTTCTGTAAATGGAACAACTAAATCTGGATGATGGCACATTTCTTTACAACATGGTTTACCAATATTTCAAGCCCACTGTTGAGACATACTGCTCAGAAAAAAAGACTAAATTCCTTTCAAAATATTATTGCTCACTGACAATGCACCTGGTCACCCAAGAGCTCTGATGTAGCAGTGAGATTAATGTTATTTTCATGCCTGCTAGCACAACATCTATTCTGCAGCCCATAGATCAAGGAGTAATTTCGACTTTCAAATCTTATTAAAAAATACATTTCATAAGGCTATAGTTGCCATAGATAGTGATTCCTCGGATGGATCTGGGAAAAGTAAATTGAAAACCTTCTGAAAGGGATTCACCATTCAGGATGCCATTAAGAACATTCATGATTCATGGGTAGAGGTCAAAATATCAACATTAACAGGAGTCTGGAAGAAGTTGATTCTAATCCTCATGAATGACTTTGAGGGTTTCAGTTACTTCCTGGAAGTAACTGAAGATATGGTAGAAACAGCAAGAGAACTAGAATTGTAATAGGGAAGAACAAATCTAACTCCATATTAGATCTGTTTCTTTTACTTTAAACTTTGTACTCTATTGATTTTGCTACAAGTTAAGAATGTTGCCTATAGCCTGAAATATACAGGACAGCCCATTCTCAAGGCTCTGACCTTTAAAGGTATAACACTTTTCCATTCATATAGAGATTCAAAAGCTGCAGAACAGAGAATAACATTTGTCTTGTTGGAGGTTTACAGGGACATCATGACCTGACCTACAGGGACAGCTGCAAGAGCAAAGGATTCTGACACAAAGAAGTTTGCAACAACTAACAACAGACCCTCCGCTTTTAATATAAAAGAAGCCTGAATTCTAACTCAGGTAAGATGGTTCTTTGGAACACTAGTCTGCCATC